ACACTACCTCCAGGATGACACTACCTCCAGAATGACACTACCTCCAGAATGACACTACCTCCAGGATGACACTACCTCCAGGATGACACTACCTCCAGAATGACACGACCTCCAGAATGATACTACTCTCCAGGATGACACTACCTCCAGGATGACACGACCTCCAGGATGACACTACCTCCAGGATGACACTACCTCCAGGATGACACTACCTCCAGAATGACACTACCTCCAGGATGACACTACCTCCAGAATGACACTACCTCCAGGATAACACTACCTCCAGGATGACACGACCTCCAGAATGACACTATCTCCAGGATGACACGACCTCCAGAATGACACTACCTCCAGGATGACACTACCTCCAGGATGACACTACCTCCAGGATGACACTATCCTCCAGGATGAGACGCAACACCTGAGGGAGGGAGGGGTGGATGAGGGCCGCCTGTAGGAGGGGTGAAGGCGATGAAGGTGAACTACACAGGTGAGGTAATGAGAGCAACAGGTGATGTAGCGGTGGTGAGATACCTGGCCTAGCAAGGAGAACCACTCACCTCCTCCTCCCTCATTCTCCTCCTTCTTCTTCTTCTATTCCTTCTCCTCCGGCTCTTCCTTCTTCTTCTCCTCCGGCTCTTCCTTCTCCTTCTCCTCCTCCTCCCCCTTCGCCAAAGTACTACAATTTTCTTCTACTTCCCAGCGACTAAAACACACACACACACACACACACACACACACACACACAACAGGTATGGGATCACAGTCACCAAACAAGACCAAGGTGCAGAAATTATCATCCAAGGTTCTCAAACGGTTTGTGCGTGTGTGTGTGTGTGTGTGTGTGTGTGTGTGTGTGTGTGTGTGTGTGTGTGTGTGTTTGTTTTGTTTCTGTGTGTGTGTGTGTGTGTGTGTTTGTTTGTTTCTGTGTGTGTGTGTGTGTAATAATAATAATAATAATAATAATAATAATAATAATAATAATGATAATAATAATAATAATAATAATAATAATAATAATAATAATAATAATAATAATAAACGGTTTATTAATAGAGTTGTGGTGCCGGTGGCTGAAAATATACAAATCCTTACATTTGATTTAGACATAATGATATACGTTGAACATTTACAGGGCTGTACAGTACATAAATCTGAAGTTGCTTATTATTTTAACAATAGATGTGTGTGTGTGTGTGTGTGTGTGTGTGTGTGTGTGTGTGTGTGTGTGTGTGTGTGTGTGTGCGTGTGTGTGTGTGTGTGTGTGTGTGCGTGTGTGTGTGTGTGCGTGTGTGTGTGTGTGTGCGTGTGTGTGTGAGCGTGTGTGCGTGTGTGTATGTGTGTGCGTGTGTGTGCGTGTGTGTGTGTGTGTGTGCGTGTGTGTGTGTGTGTGTGTGTGTGTGTGTGTGTGTGTGTGTGTGTGTGTGTGTGTGTGTGTGTGCGCGTGTGTGTGTCAGTGTTAACTCTGACGTCATATACTAACAGTTCCTCTCTAACTTACATCAATTACTTAAGAACATTCTCAAACATTCCCACTACAAGGACCATTTATCGTCAGAGCAGCCCTTTGAGAAACCTAACCTAACCCCACCTCACCTAACCTCACCTCACCTAACCCCACCTTACCTAACCTCACCTCACCTAACCTCACCTCACCTTCAATTGCTAATGAAACGACTGGACAAACATGAGGCAAATTCCTTATCCTCTGGGTCTATCTGTATGGAGGAGGAAGAAGAGGAGGAAGAGGAGGGGAGGAGGAAGAGGAGGGGGGAAGAAGAAAAGAAGGAGGAAGACTGAGAAGGAAGAGGAGGAAGAAAAAATGAAATATGGGAAGGGATATGTATGTATGTATGTATGTACGTATGTATGTATGTATGTATGTATGTATGTATGTAGAAGTCCGCGTGCTTTATGGACTCATGAAATATGTATGTATGTGCAAGTACAGTGTGTATGTATGTATGTGTGTGTGTGTGTGTGTGTGTGTGTGTGTGTAGTAGTAGTAGGGCGTCGTCGCCACTCTGTCTAGCCGGTCAGCTTGGACTGAGAGGGAGGGAGGGAGGGAGGGAGGGAGCGTCTGGCCTGGGTGGATCTCTCACTCCCTCTCTCCCTTAACTTCCCGTCTGTCTTTGTCTTCCCTCCCTGACTACCACAACTACCACCAACATCACCACTACCACCATCACCACCACTACCACCATCACCACCACCACTACCACCATCATCATCACCACTACCACCATCATCACCACTACCACCATCACCACCACTACCACCATCACCACCACTACCACCATCACCACCACTACCACCATCACTACCACAATTACCATAACTATCACCATAACAGCCACTCCTACTACCTCCACGACAACTACCACCACCACCACTACTACCAGGTACACATCAGTCAGGTATGCAGTGGTGTCCAACGGAGGGAGGGAGGGAGGGAGGGAGGGGGTGGGGGTAGGGAGGGTGAGAGGGAGGGGGTAGGGAGAGGAAACATACGTGGAGAGCATGACAAACATCTGTACGGACGAGGGAGAGATACAGTGCTCTCTCTCTCTCTCTCTCTCTCTGTATCAATTTGTATCTATCTATCAATATGTATCTGTATATCTATGTATCTATGTATCTATCTATCTATCTCTACCAATCCCCAAGGTCAAAGTAGACAAACAGATAGGCCCTGGGGAAGGTCTTATAATTAGGACGTTTTTGACAGCACACACACACAAAGCCTATTACTGAACACAATACCAAGACCAGACGGGACGCATTACACCAGGGGTAACAAAATCCTCCTACCCGGTGGGATTCGTGGGATGTGTAGGAGTGGTAGTGGTGCCAGGTAGTGCCAGGGACCCCCAGAGGACATCCCCAAAGGAGGCTAGGCAAGAGTTGGTGGTCCGGGGGTCGATTTGGTCAGCCTCATCACACCAGGACCAGTTTCCCCGTCGTATACCATCTACATAATATCTCTATATAAGGCACTTGGGGTAAGGGTCCACACCGTCACCTGCAGAAGGGAGGAGGAGGAGGGGAAAGGAGGGGAAGAGCACCTCCTACACCAGCAAACTGAGTCATCGGTTATTGTACCACGTGAACAATACCCATCGGTGTACAGTACATCATCGTGGACAACACTCTCTGAACACATCTTTCAGTACACTATATAACGAGGTTGTATATCATGCACACCACCAGTCATATATCACCATACTGCAATATATTAATTTAATACCCCATATATCTTTATTTTCTCACACGGCACAACTTTTACATACAGTACAGGCAGAATGCCAGCGAGGAATAGAAACAAAATAAGTCGATCCTCTACTGACAGGCGAACACAAAACATGAAATCTAATCCTTTATGGCGTGAGAAACTCCTAATCTTTTCAATATACTAAACGGATAACTCACAGTGTGTATTTTTCTCACTGATAAACGTCCCCAAATACAAAAATCGACGATAATTTAGCCATGAACCAAATAATGTCAAATGAACACCATCAAATGCATTATCAGATCTGTTAAGCAATTCGTGGTAGAGTGTTTCCTGATGTCCTTCTTACAGCAGAGATTATTATTTCTTCGTTAGCCCTTAATTTCCTGTTTCTTGATCTCCCTCCCTCCCTCCCTGTCTTACTTCTTATCTATTTTAATTTATTTTGCCTCTTTTTCTTTCTCTCTTGATTACCATTTATGTACAAAATACATCTTGGAGCCCAACTAAAATGTCTTAAGTGTATAGGTGCATGAATGTGAGTGTGTCTGTCTAAGTGTATATGTGAATGTGAGTGTGTCTGTCCATCTATCTGTATATATAAGTCTATCCATCTGTCTGTATAAGTAAATATGTATGAATATAATGGAAAACAAAACACAGTCACGATAAACTGCTCCCAGATTCTTGAGGCATATCGTAAGCTCCTCAACACCACAGGCAGGTGAGGTAAAAACTAACGCAGCGACACCATCATATTTGGACGAGGGCAAATATCGACGACTGCGCCCACGGGTGACGACAACGAGACTCGACGGGTTTGACGGTTCATCAGAATGTCGGCAACGAACCAAGTTTACTCCCACACTGTATATAACCCCTCCTTATGACATCTCAGTAAGGGTTTTCTCCATAAGGAACACAGAGGCATCATAAACCCTGGATCATATGACTGGGATAAACACATAAGACAAACATACAGTACAACCAAACATCAAAGACTTCCTCCACGTACTCTGATTTCCTCCACATACTCTGATTTCCTCCACTTACTCTGATTTCCTCCTTTACAAACACCAGACGATTACATCCATACCAGTATCAATAAACAGATCGACTGCACAAAATACTCATAAAAACGTCTGTGTGTATCACATAACAGAAGGGCGATAACCACAGGAAATCAAACTGTGCATTTACCTTCCCCGAGTAGAGATGGAAATTTTAACACTCACCTGCAAGCAGAAAAAAAATTATGGTTAGTATCGTATATAGAAGCCGCCAAATCACCTTACCAATCCCTGCACAGCTCTCTATCCCTAACACATCCCTCTTTCTACATCTATACCCAGGAAAAAAAATCATCTCCATGACTTCTACATTAACTACAGGTGTTCCTCTCTGTGCCTATGAACACTCGACTGACGAACGCTCAGAAAAGACTAAAAACCTGTCCGTATGTCCAATTGACTATTTACCCATTAAAACATTGTTAAAGGCTGATATGATATAGAGTAACATGCTGTGTTTATTATTAGCATATAACTGTCCTGTTCATCTTTTTTTTTTCATTTTTTTTTACTACAATGTTCGGTATCTACAGGAGTAAATCTAGACTCACGGATAACCCTCAGGAACGTAACTCATTCGTCAATAGAATAGAGAAGCACATGCACAGTCAAGGACGGGCAAAAGATCCAGTAGAAAGCAACTGGTTCATAAAAACACCAATGATTGATCAATTTAGCACAACAGTAATATACAGTACTCACCACATAGCCTGCACGGAGATGGGCTTGAAGATGTGTTTCCGTCCACTAGTGCACACGCTGAAGCCACTGCAGCCGAGAGGCAAAAAAAAACGATTATCCCACAAAAATGTTAAACGATAAGCATAAAAGATTAATAAAAGCTTAAGCACTTATGAATAAACAATGGATAGATACAGCTTAGTTGATATATTTAATAATTTTGTGTGAATGAGAACTATCCATCAAGGCATTAGAACAGAACAGTGGTTTAGAACTTAAATATTACTGCAAGTCACCGCTTCTTACAATACATCCACCATAATGGCTCAAATCCTCTACTTCTCCATAACCCTAACAGAATATGTCTCTCTATCTCAACAAATTGCTGAACAGGATCTAAAAAAAATAGTGTAATGAGGAATGAATTTCTTAGTTACAAATAGAGAAAGGGAAATAAAAATAGTACAGGGTATCTAAATTCTTCAGAGTATTGAAGAGAGGAGGAATAAGGTTCTTAAGTTACAAATAAGGGGATTAAATACTGTTTATGATTCCTCAGTGTACTGGCTTAGTCTCTCCTTTGGATTCATGTATAAAGAGTTCATGAGTTAGATCTGAACTGAATTATGGGTATACGGTATTTACAAAGTGCTGTGTCATATTGGTTACTTAGTCCGTCTGACCAAATTTAACTTATTAGATCCGGAAACCTCCTCTAATGGACAACAGGGAAAGGATAGTCCATTATATTGAGGATCCATTAGATCTGGAACTCCTTCTAATGGACTATATGGAGAGGAGAGTCCATTACATCAAGGGTCCATTAGATGTAAAACCCCCACCTAATGGACTATATGGAAAGGAGAGTCCATTATATCAAGGGTCATTAGATCTGAAACTCCCTCTAATGGACTACATGGAAAGGAGATTCCATTATTTCAAGGGTCCAATAGATGTGAAACCCCCTCCCCCACCCCACGCATTACAGGGAGAGAGAAATCCGTCACATGGAGGTTTCACTATCCTATCAAACACACACCGTAACCCCGGCCTGGCCTCACCCATCGCCGTCGAGGCTGATCCTGGTGTCTGCGAGAACCGGCGACACGAGACCGATGGAGGGCTTCTCTCCGCTGAAGTCTATACCCAGCAAGCAGTCTTCTTCTTTATCCTGTCGGCCGACCCTTCCCACCACCGCCAGATACCGTACGCGGCCAAGGTGCTGCGACTCGAGCCGGACAGCCTGTAAGATGCCATAACGAGTGCAATCAACAGGTAAGTTTGCTTGAGAGAGAGAGAGAGAGAGAGAGAGAGAGAGAGAGAGAGAGAGGAAATGGGAAAAATGATGTTAAAAATGCAATGTAAATATGAGAGAGAGGAGGTTAAAATACATTGTCAATCGGAAAGAAAAAGCTAAAGATACATTGTAAACAGGACAGAGGTTAAAATAGTGTAAACAGGTATGAGAAAGCTAAAGATAAATTGAAAACGAGAAAAAAAACAATAATAGGAAATAAAAATCTAAAAATACAGGGGTACATTGTAAACAGGAAATAAAAGGCTTAAAAAACATTGTAAACAGGAAATAAAAAGCTAAAAATCTGATTGGCTAATTCACCAACAACTCAAGTTCAAGCTAAACAAAGAGGGAGAGAGAGAGAGAGAGAGGTCCCAGCTTACCATGTGTAGTGTGTCACCCGGACAGAGGAGGTGGAGCATGGCCTGGAGGTGGCCCTGTATGTCTGGCGGGACCGTGCCTGTCCGGCGGCCTCGTCCAAGTTGACATTCATTTTTAGGTAGTAGTACTCCGAACCCTGGAAATTAAATTATAAAATGCTAACTATAGAATGCATTTTATTGTATTTTGTCTAAAGAATTTATCATACATTATCACTTATCTATATTCAGTCATAAACAAATTATATAAAATTCTACTTCAATTTGACTTTTCAATTATATTTTTTCATTTACAGCAAAACAGAACATTAAATAATAGCATCTTACCTTTAACAGCAAAGTAATATTCACTCAAACTGAAAACAAAACAAAAAAATACATTAAAAAAAATTATACATTCAAGAAAATACATTGATGAAAACTGATTTTTTTTTAACAGTTGAAAATAAATTACTTGTATTAATGTTCCTTTACTCCTTGAACTATGTCCTTTAACAAGTAAATAATGCAATGCTCCTCTGAAGGCCTGAACAATGACGTGGCTTTAAAATTCTTACAGGGATTTATGGTGTTGTCGTACTGTAGTTCGTGAAATTATATGTACCGTATACTAAATTCAGTGAGCATACACACACACACAAAGTATACACACCCAGCAACGTCCACCTACACACACCCACCCACACATTCCTCACACACACACACACAAAAACACATTCCTCACCCATCTCTCTGCCTCACTCACATTCCTCACCCATCTCTCTGCCTCACACACATTCCTCACCCATCTCTCTGCCTCACTCACATTCCTCATCCATCTCTCTGCCTCACACACATTCCTCACCCATCTCTCTGCCTCACTCACATTCCTCATCCATCTCTCTGCCTCACACACATTCCTCACCCATCTCTCTGCCTCACTCACATTCCTCACCCATCTCTCTGCCTCACTCACATTCCTCACCCATCTCTCTGCCTCACTCACTCTGGGACGACAACATCACCTACCTTCTGTTCTTCTGCTCCTCTTCTTCTAAGGAATGAACTGAACTCCCATATTCCTGAAACAAAGAATTTACTTTGATGAGCACAGTATATTTATTATGTCTCTGGGATCACCTGAAGATTAAACCCCTCCCCCCCTCCTCAAAGGTTAATCATCCTAGTGGTACATGGTAGGGTTAGGTTAGGTTAGCCTGCATTAGAATAGGTTAGAATAGGTTAGATTAGATAAGGTTTTTTTTATTGTTAGGTTAGGGTACATTAGGTTAGCCTGCATTAGAATAGGTTAGATTAGATAAGGGTTTTTTATTTAGTTAGGTTAGGGTATATTAGGTTAGCCTGCATTAGAATAGGTTAGATTAGATAAGATTTTTTTTATTAAGTTTGGTTAGGGTACATTAGGTTAGGTTAGGTTAGGTTAGGTGAGCATTAGGGTGGATAGGTTACATTAAGTTACCTTAGGCTCGGTTAGGTTAGCACCAGGATAGTAAATCTTATAAACTGGAGTGGTAAATCTTCAGGTGATGCTTTCAATAATAACTTCTAAAATATCATGTCAGAATGCATCTAAATATTAGGGTAACACAATCATGAAAGCAGTACAGTGAGACCTCCATATAAAGAACATCTCTCTCTCTCTCTATTTAATCCGTTATATGGGGATCTCACAGCTATAAGACCCTCGATATAACAAACTTCCATATCTATAAAGTTCATAAGATAGGGGTTTCACAACTAACAGACCCTCGATATAAGAAACTTCCCCCTCCATATAGTCCATTAAATAGAGGTTCCACTGTATAAACGAACTGAAGTACGATACAGGAAGCTAACAGGAATAACATCCATACATGACCTCATTGTTTATATCAAACTACAATTAGATATAAGGCAATTAGTTTACCTGTGATAATGGTTTACACCTTTTGTGACACTTCACTTTTGGGTGTAGGAAACTGGATTTGAAATGAAGAGTGATTAATTTCTCATCTAACCTAACCTATCCAAACCTAACCTAACTTAACCTATCATAACCTAAACTATTAAAACTTATCCTATCTTACCTTACTCTATCCTATTCTATTCTATCCCATCCTAACATATTCTATCCTATCCTAACCTATTCTATCCCATCCTAACCTATTCTATCCTATCCTAACCTAACAACACCTAACACTACCCCTAACCATCCTCCAGGCAGCTGTAGTGTGTTGTTAAATCATCAGTTCCAATAAGCTAGAGGAGGGGGGCTAATCTTCAGGTGATCCCACGGACTCTGCCATATACACATCATACAATACTAAACAATATATAAACTAACTAATACTAAAAAGGGATTTTTTTTAGTTCTTAGTTGGTTAATGTTGTGTTGGTGCTTGTGGTTAGTTTCAATAGTCCTTTATTAATTAATTTTCTCCTCGTGCTCAATCAGTTTTGAATTATATGATTAAAACAAATATATCAATAATAATCCCTTTAAAATAATATAAGGTAATAAAATATATAGGCTATACTTAATCTATCCCGTTTAATTTTTCTTTGTTTAAAAATTAACAAAATATTCCACTAATTCACTATAATATAACCCAATAAATACAATCATTAAATTAAGAAATATTTTAAATTTCTTACAAATCTAAAAGTTAAAACACTTAAGAATTTCAGATTAATAAGTTATATATTTTTTCATTATCCTTTCCCGGGTTTGTTAAATAGAGACAAAGATCCACTCTACTTACCGTAATAAATAAACCTGCTATGAATACACAAGCACCACTCATCTATACCACACGAGACACCTTGATTATTCAGACATTTTGTGGTAAACTTGACGAATTTGTTGGTTAATGAAGAAATTTGCTGGAGGTTCCTTAGTTTGACTTACCGAGGATGGCGGTGAACTGCTCACACTGGGGGACCTCTGAACGGTCACTAACGCCATTATCTTCCTTAATGAAGTCTAAACCTCACCAAACACCCAATTTCTGGTCTTTTTAAATCATTGTGTCGTTAAGTAATCTAGGACAGAGTAGTTCTAAGCAGTGCCATATTTACAATAACAAATTCCAACAATATGACTCATTCGGGTATTAACTTTATTCTATCATATATCATTCATTTACATACCTATTTTTATTATAAATTTAGTTTGTCATTTTTTTTTATTTTTTAGACACGTTTACAAATATAAAAATTATTCTAAATAATTTTTGAATCGGTTTTTAAGATATTTTTTTATACGTGTGTGATTTTAGGTTTATAGACCGCAGGGTTATTCATAATGTAAAATATTTACCTCATAAGAATCTTCTTTCTTTGTCTAGCGTTTAATAATGAAAATATATAAATAAAAATATACCCAATCACATATATTATACACTAACTATCACAATATAAAAACTAGTTAGCTCATTACATACATCAGTACTGGTGGCTGTCACGAGTGATTCATGGGACTCAATGGTTATTCATGTAAAAAAAAAAAAAAACTCGAACATTCACATTCGTTAATTTACTACATAGATAAAAAAAATCAAATACATCCTAATGATTAATTAAATACATAAATTGTCAATAAACATTTTACTAGTCATTAAAACAGTCAGAATGTTGTATTTCAGGTGTATAATAATTAAGGTGCGGTTGGAGATGATTATAGGGTATATAAATATCTTCTCCAACAATTATAAAACATAATTCGTTGAATAATTTTGCAAAGATAGATGACAATAGACTTAGGTTAAACATACAATCACAAAATATAACTAAATATGACACCAAACAACTAAATATGGGTAAAATATATATCCTACAATTATATTGACAAAAATATGCAAATTGATGAATTTAGAATATATTACAGATTTTCTCATTGGTAAAGGAAGCGTTATTTCCTTGATTTCATTTCCATTTGATGTTTAGTCCAATAATTCTCTCGGTACAGTCTATCATTACTGACTTTTTTATTCCACCTTTACCTTTAGTATCACCACCTATCCTCACTACATGGTATACTGTAAATACAACACACTGTATACTGACCCTTTGATTACACAAGAGGGCAGGATGGAAGGCACTATATTCACCTGATTTCATTTCCCAATTTGTCAAGTCAGGCACCCAATAACAGCTGGATTCACTGGAGGGGTGACCTGAATGTGGACTAGAGTAGTAATCATAACCAAGACCTTTTACATGCAAATAAATTTACCTAAACTGTATTGTATAAATTAAAGAGAAAAATATTACATCACCAGAGGATAAAAAATACAAAACTATAGAAGCGTTTTTATTTACAAGAAAATAAGAACATATAAACAATGAAATATCTTATAGCTTAATGTATCGTCCTTCTCAGAAATAGGTCAGATGAAAGGTATAGCGTCTTTCACTTCCTCACCGAGTTTCCCCACCATTTCCTCTAGACCTCCCATGACGTCCACCATGATATCACAGTCATCAGAGCACCCCATAGTTACCATTTACCTGAATTCGATTTTATGTTATTAACAAGTCTTATTAGCCATGAACTCTAACCTGTGGCTAAATAGTATTGGAGACAATATTTTCCTGGCTTGTGGTTTTTAAGTAACATTCTCTCTCATTAGGAAGCTTGAGCATATACAACCTTGTCTGTTGTCACGAATCAAAGCTCTGCCTCTTCTCCTGCTGCTCCACTAACCCCGAGATTCAGATCCGTGAACCCGAAGCCGTAGACACTATTGCATTATTCTGTCTGCAGATGCTTTGGATTCACAAGTCTGAATCTAAAGGCTCATGAAGCAATAGCAGAAGTGACAGGACTAAAATTTGTGACTGTAAATAACACACATTTAAAAATATCATATACAGGTACAGTACTCTGAATATTTTGAGTATACTGGATAGTTTATTATTTGTTTTAGTACTATAATTACTTGCAAAAATACACATTTCTTCAGTACTTATTCCATCTATTACCAGTTTCCTATCCAGTGTTATTTGGAATGTAATTTGGATGTTTTACTCAACTGATATCCAAATGGTTTTTAAGTCATCATTATCCATTACCAGTGTCCAACCATCAATTCTATTCCTGACTTTAAAAGCACATAAACACAATTTCCTATAACCTTGAGAAGTGTCCCATAAAAAGGAGTGATGCTCTCTTAGTCTTTCTCATCAACAAAGAAATTTTCCATCTCTTCTCAGTAACTCGTATCTGAACTCTTCCCAGATGGACTTGCTAACCTTGTTTCCCAAATGGTCAACATATCAAACAGTGACAAAATCAGGGTATGAAAACCTATTATTTGTCAAGGGTCTTCCTATTATACCGTATTATCTTATATTAGTCATGAATATTTAAAACAACTTTGAAATTTCCGTTTTTAACCCGTAATCGGTGACTATGGAATTCCACTTCCCCATATGAGCAAAACTAAAATGCAAGAAACATGAAACTTCTACAGATGATGGCTGCCATTCTTAGTTAGCTTCCACCAATGTCACCATCACTACAGCTATGGTAACTTCCACTGATAATGAACACATTCCCTACGGCTAACTTCCACTGATGATGACCACCGTCCCTACAGCTAACTTCCACTGATGACTGCCATCCCTACAGCTAACATCTACTAATGATGACAACAATCGAAGTGTTAAATAATTTGGTATTCTGCTCTCCATTTATCCTTAACCATCTCATCCGTCACAAAACATAACAGTCTTCACATGGAATACTTCTACCATACCTATAAAGATATCCCAGTCCTCATATCTAAAACAGTGCATCAATAGTCCATTTCTACCAAGTTACTCCCCTTCACCACCAAGCCTAATAATTGGTAGAGTCACTCAAAAAACTATCTTCACAAACAATTAAGTAAGACAATATGACACAAGGGATGAAGGATTTTGACAGCCTTACAGAGACGACAGGAGTCACAGTGTTCATTCTGAAATTCAACGACCACTTCCCACCCCAGTAAAGATAGTTTTTCGAGTGACTGTATATCATTACGGCTGGACAGTCACCACGTAAACAATGTATGAGAATAAATCCACCAATCGCAGACGAACTGAGGGATTCTTCTCATCTTTGGTAACGTCTTTCGTATATGGTATGAGCACTACTTTCACAGCCAATGCTTCAGTGAAGTTTATTTTATTACAGTGAAACCTCTATTTAACGGACTACATGGATAGAAAAGCCCGTTATAATGAGGGTCCGTTCGATGTGAACCCCCATCTAACAAACTATAGAGATGGAAGTCCATGATATCAGGGGCCCATTAGATATGAAACCCCCATCTAACGGATATGGAGAAAAAAGTCCGTTATATATAAGTTACATTGTATGCCACTCCTATATAAGGCCAGGATACCTCCACACTATTTCCTGTTGGTCACAAGACACTGCAGATTGTACGAATTCAATAAAGTATTTCCTTTTGAGTTAAACCTACAAGAATACCGAGGAGAAAACAATAACACATGAACACCTTATCTAAAAATTTACTTATGTGATTCTAATGTGTAAACGACTTTTGGTTTTGTTTTGTTTTTGTAAATTTTAATAAGTGTAAATGTAGCAACTTGCGTGCAGTACAGTGTGTAAATTTCTCTTCAAAACACTAATGACAATATCATCAAGGGATAAGAACTCACCACCCACCTCACTAACCACTTATAGAGGCTTTGTGAATAGTGAAATACAATGGTCCATTCCCTTAGAGTTTACGATTAATTTTTCAAACACTAATCTAACAAATTCAATTATTATCAAGCTCTACTAGAGTGGCTAAATTAATATTAATTCATTAGTTAAATTTTGTTAATAGTCAGTTAGCTATAGAATTCAATTGTCTTTTAACTTGAGTTGACATTTTTACTGCTCTTCAAGATAGACTTATTACCACCATAATTATCCAAGTTACCGCTTTGATGAATCTAATTACCCCATACTTTTCTTAACTGCTTTGACTAGACTAATTACCCCATAATTACTGTATCCCTCTTTACTGCTTTAACAAGAGTAATTACCCCATAATTATCCCTCTTTACTGCTTTAACAAGAGTAATTACCCCATAATTATCCCTCTTTACTGCTTTGATAAGACTAATCACCCCATACTTTTCTTAACTGCTTTGACAAGACTAATTACTGCATACTTATTACTGCTTTGACTAATTCTCCCTTAACTATTAATCATATTTATTGCTTTAGCGGAATATATATAGGTAATCATGTACTGTATATTCCCTGAGGATATTTTTAATTACCTTTTGTAACTCGTTTTTTTTAGTAATTACGTATAATATATCTTTCAGGGGAAAACGTGGACCCAATAGCTTACATCTCTGGGGAATTCATTTGGTATTTCTTTATATACATGAAACCTCAATTTAACGGATTACATGAAGAGGAAAGTCCATTATATCGAGGGTCCGTTAGATGCGAAACTTCTATTTAACGGACTAGAGAGAGAAAAGTCCATTATGTCGAGGGTCCGTTAGATATGAAACCCCCCATCTAACAAACTGTATGGAGATAGAAGTCCGTTATATAGAGGTTTCACTGCATATCAACGTGTAAAGTATATCTGGGGTTTTGGGGTTCCACAGGTGTCAAACTTAGCATAGTGGGGTGAGTTGGTTCCCCTGAAATGATTCCAATGGGGGTAACAATAATAAGGGGAGTTGTTTACACTTGCGGGGGTATGAATGCAAGTCATTTTCTCGCCAGTGTGTCAGTACAGTATTGATCTCTGGGTTGTGAGGGAGGGGACTAAGGGACCCCAGAGAAGTGCCAGTCATCCCAAACACTTAACTCTGGGTCTTGTGAGGGAGGGAACTAATGAACCCCAGAGAACTGCCAGTCATCCCGAACACTTAACTCTGGGTCTTGTGAGGGAGGGAACTAATGAACCCCAGAGACCTGCCAGTCATCCTGAACATTGAACTCTGGGTCTTGTGAGGGAGGGAACTAATGAACCCCAGAGACCTGCCAGTCATCCTGAACATTGAACTCTGGGTCTTGTGAGGGAGGGAACTAATGAACCCCAGAGACCTGCCAGTCATCCTGAACATATCACACAGCAATAAAACTTCGACTGGAATATAAAACATTAATAACAACAACAACAACAAAGAGAATAACAACGGTACTGGTAATGTTGTAACGACTTAATGCCTTGTAATGGAAGTAAACAATTAGGGCTATAAACCAATGACGAGGTCAATAAGGACATATGCGAGTAATTGGTACAGATCAACCACCGACTAAAACTGTACCTGTAATGATTAGACAATTCCCCATTTAAACCAAGATTGCTAAGCACTTGTAAGGTTCACCTGGAATGAAGAAAGAGACGACAAGAATTACGTGTGTGTGTGTGTGTGTGTGTGTGTGTGTTGCATTTTGTGACTGTGGAAACTACTGGGTGTATTGGAAAAATGTGTACACGCTGACTTATAGATTTCCGTGGTGATTGCGTTAATGTTTGTATTCCAACAACAACATTGTCCACATGCACCAACAAGTAAGGATAATGTTGGTCATAGTACAAGACTTCAGACCATCTCTATGAAAATCTGTAAGGATGTGCATATACGATTTTCCAAGACATAGTGTATTTAACCAATAATATTTTTTTTCCTCTTTATCACAAATCCATACAGTACAGTATTTACTACTGGTAATATTTCTAGAGCTTTGTTTGAGATATATATTCATTCCCCCAAAAGCATTAGATTAAAAATACGTCTAGTTACAATTATCATTAAAAGGCGGTACACTTATGAAAGTCCTGTCGCCTCTCCCTCTGAACCACGAACCCCAAGATTCAGACTCGTGAATCCGAAGCATTTATGGACAGAATGATGCAACGGTGTCTATTGCTTTGGGTTCACGAATCTGAAACTTGAAGCGTTTACATTATCTCTTCATGCCATGGCTTTACCGGATACCACAGGTATTATCTGTTAATTATACAACATAAACGGGCAAGATTTTTTTTTTTTTATTATTATCTCAGAATTTTTTGTCGCGAATTGACACTAAATGAGTTGGAATTACTTAGTCATTATCTATTTGTACTTTCGTCGCTGTCCCCGATGCTTCCTCTCTCCATCAACTCCAGAATTTCTTTGATGTAACATTCTTCCTCCTGCAACGAGAGACATCGATAAACTACACCTACCAATAACAGGCAAATAACAAGTACTACACCAATAGATCAATTAGCTTCTGTATGTTACCGTGTTAAGGAATAATCTCTAGAATAATCTGGATGGGTTACAATAAGGATAACTCTCTAGAATAATTATATCTTGTACCTTCCATAACTATCATTTACAACCAGTTGAGAAATCTCCAGCTGTGTTTAACTAAAGAATTAAAAACAAATTATTCTTGTAATCATAAGGTGAGACAATTCCTCTCTCTCTCTCTCTCTCTCTCTCATTCTTTCTATATATCTCTCTCTCTATCTCTTTATTCAGTATTTTGTTCTCCCCATTTCTAGCCTTTATATTAACTATACATAATTTCCACACATAAGAGCTTATACTTAAAGAGACACTGAGATGCTCACTAACACTCAGCAACACCTTACCTGCGTTTCCTCCTTTTCTTTGATGTCGTCGAGCCGAGACGTCAGAATCTGGGAGACGTTCAGCTCAGGTCGTAAGCACTCGGCAAGGGCAGGGGGGTAAGTCAGTGCCAAGGTTCGTAGCGCATCCGTGCAGTGTTCTCGAGAGATATTGTCAGTCTTTTCGCTGCCCAGTACAGTTAATAGTTGTTCGACAAAGCCCATGGATACCGCTGTGGCTGAAAGCAATTTTACAATGATATCTGCCATTTCTAAAGCTAACTTTCACTGATGACGGCCACCGTCCCTACAGCTAACTTCCACTGATGACGGCCACCGTCCCTACAGCTAACTTCCACTGATGACGGCCACCGTCCCTACAGCTAACTTCCACTGATGACGGCCATCGTCCCTACAGCTAACTTCCACTGATGACGGCCACTGTCCCTACAGCTAACTTCCACTGATGACGGCCACCGTCCCTACAGCTAACTTCCATTGATGACGGCCACCGTCCCTACAGCTAACTTCCACTGATGATGGCCACCGTCCCTACAGCTAACTTCCATTGATGACGGCCACCGTCCCTACAGCTAACTTCCACTGATGATGGCCACCGTCCCTACAGCTAACTTCCATTGACAATGGCCGATGTTTAAGGATTAAAGGCTACTTGGATTACATTAAATAGTAGTTAGGGAAATCCTATATATATTTCCTTCACAATCCCTTAACCATTCTAAAAAGAACAAACTTACAAAGTAATAATAATAATAATAATAATAATAATAATAACAATAATAACAACAACAATAATAATAATAACAATAATAATAATAACAACAATAATAATAACAATAATAACAATAATAATAATAACAATAATAATAATAATGATAACTATAACAATAATAATAATAATAACAATAACAATAATAATAATAATAACAACAATAATAATAACAATAATAATAATAATAACAATAATAATAATAATAATAACAATAATAATAATAACAATAATCATAACAATCAAAACTTACCCCTGTTTGAATCTTTCTTTTTCACAAGTTTGGTTAGAAGAAACGCAGACTTTATAACCAACTTCTCCACCCCAGACTGCATCGCTCTCATCAGGTAAGACAGACCATCGGCGTCAAGGAATTCCGCCTCACCTTTTGGACAATCACGAACAACACCTGCCGGGGATATTTTTTAACATAATAACATAGAGACAAGTTATATCTAGGTATATAATCTTGAAGGTTTTCTCTCTCAGATGGCATTATGTTAAAGTCATTCACGCTGCACTTACACCTGGTACAGTGGATGGTGTGTTTTGTGAGGTGTGGCAACCCTGTAGGAATGTTTATCTAGTATCCTCAGTCTGGTTGTTATTTTGACTCGTATAGTACAGGTTATATCCATGTCTTTCATTCTATAACACACATGAACACATACATACATACATACATACATACATACATACATACATACATACATACATACATACACTCTCTCTCTCTCTCTCTAACAGTGCTAGCTAGAGGTAAAATCCCAATCAAATCAACTTACATGAAATAGCATACAGCGCCTTGACTCTTGCCTGTGTGTCTTCATCAGTGTCTAACATGAGCAACAACACTGGCATGATATCAAGTGCCAGCATATTTTCCTGACAGTATAAGTAATTCTGACATATATCTCCGATTAAAGTGGCGGCACCGATCCGAAGAGACGTGTGAGGAGAGTTCAGGCATTGCACCAGGATGGGGTACCCGCCCATTTTGTGAAGATCTGGGGAAACAGAAAATAAATAAATCGCTGAGTTAATCTCTACCCGACGGATTATATGGCGGGAGAAGTCCGTTATATGGAGGTTTCACTGTACTTGACCCTGAATGACCTTATGAGAGAGAATGGATACAAAAAGAGCGACTAAGAGGAGAAACATTAGAGAAATTATGGCAAAGAGACGCAAGACACAGATAAAGATGAGGGAAAAATTAATAATCGAGGAAAATAAGATAATCCCTAAAGAGGGTTTAAGAATCTAGTGGATATTCTACATTTGCTACATATAGGGATTACTCTTGTCCATAACATATCTGAGATTACCAAAGGTTAACGCTCAATAAATATCTGTCACAGTATTGTCTACCCATGGCACAGTTAAAGTCGTTATAGGTTAACAATCGACTCAATATCAGTATCACCTACCCATGGCATAGTTAAGGTCGTCAGAGGTTAACAATCATTACAATATCAGTATCACTTGACCACTTACCCACGACACAATTAAGGTATCACTTACCCATGGCATAATTAAGGTCATCAACATATTCCTCGAGGATCGCCATGGCTTCCTTCTGCTTCGATATGTCTTCACCGGGCATCGTTATTGACTCGCTGTACAGGCTCTTTACGGCCTTGGCCATCTCCTTCACCCCATCTACGGCCATTGACGTCAACGCCTCCTCTAGAAATGCTCGGCGCTGGGAGATTGAAACGTGGAATAAATTACTACTGATAACTACTGTAATATCAAGAGTTCAAGAGTATGTATTTTTCAAGGCACAATTTGATACAGTTACCTACTATAAACTACCCTTATCTATACTATTACCCAGCATAAACTACCCCAACTAAAACATTGTTGGTAATACTATATCTAACCTAACCTAACCATCATCTATATTATTACCTGGCATAAACCACATCTGAAACTCTCTTGGTAATACTATATCTATACCTAACCAAACCTAACCTAACCACCTGAAACTTTCTCAATAATACTATAGCTCACCTCTGGATCCATAGTCTGTAGCTGCGAGGGTCCGGTTGTATCCTCCCGAGCGGTAATTTCCGTACAAAAGTTAAGTAGCCCCTGTAGGTTCCGAGGCTGTCTTGGTTCTTCATTTTCCTGCCTGTCGGACATTTTGACGGGGATATATACGCACCACGGTACCTAGAACAATGTATGGAGATTCTATATTAAGTCTTGTTTAGAACATTAATACTCTACAGGTAATTGTGAAAGTCCATTCACCTTTTCCCCTGAACCACAAACCCCAAAATTCAGAAATCGTAAACACGCTAACTCGGAAAAAATAAGCAATAGTATTTACTTTAACGTATTTTCTGTATTACTTAGAAAAAAATTTGGATTACTTGAAGAATTTCCGTCTCAGTTTATTTCACCTGAAAATTAAACACTTTAACAGTATTTAAGTGAGGTGAGGTTAGGTTAAGATAGGCTAGATTAGATTACGAAAAGTAAAGTAAGGTAGGGTTATAATATGCTGGTATGCAAGGTAAGGTTAGGTTAGGCAAGGCTAGGTTAGGCAAGGCTAGATTAGGCAAGGCTAGTTAATCTTCAGGTGAAATAAGCTGGGGTGGCGATTCTTCAGGTGACCCCCTAAAAAACGAATTTAACCTTACATAAACAGCAAATAGGCCCAAACCTCCACACCTTCAGGAAATTAACCACATCATTTACCAAACTGACTGACTTATAGCAGAGACACACATGCTCAGTGGTTCAGCTACAGATATACAATAATACATTTCAATTCTATAAAATTAACTAACCAAAACCACTAAAGCTATGTGTTACAAGACATTTCATAAATAAATTAAAAAAATCATATCACATACACGTTATGACATCAAATTTGCATACCACAAAAAATAAAATAAAATAAATAAATGTGTAAATCGCAATCAAATCGTAATTATTTATCAATGTTAATAAATACATATGTAACTATTAAACTAGTCCAAATATTGTTAGGGGAAATAGATATATACATAAAGATATACATAGATACCAGTATATACAGTCACAGGCTCCTAACCCAGTAAACTCAACCAGTCAAGTAAATAATGTATATAAACGTATAAAAATAAATAAAATAAATAATCCCTTACTTACTCAATTATTAATGCCAATATTTCTACAAGTTAAGTAAATTCTTCTTTTTCTCAGTACTGTATGTCTTAAATTCCTTATTATATTCGACTCAAATAAGACCTCTGCCTTCTCCCTGTCACTTTATACCACAACTAACCATTCCCTTTAACTCTACCACAATATAAAGCCATTAAAGAGACTATTCTAGCAACTTCTAGAATATAGTAGAGAAAATACATGAATTATCTAGAATACTCGGCTGGGTATTTTCCCCTATTACAAAGTCATTTTTTATGTTTAATCTTTATCTTAGTTTATCTTTATCTTAGACATGTTATTATCTAAATTAAACTAATATATTTGACTTATTTATATTACCTTATTTAGACAGGAATCTATCCCGCGTGAGGGCACTAGTGAGGGCAGCCGCGTTCACCAATATAATCTTAATTCAGTATTATTAATGATATTTTCCCAATAGAGGAGGTTTTATTAAATTATTACTCGTATTATATGTAATTAATATATTAGTATCAAATGATTTTAATTATATATTTAATTATAAGTGTAGAGTTCATAATTATTTACATCTAAATAAATATGGTATCTGAATCCGGACTCAGATACCCGAATCCATTTGCTCATTTGCATATCGGAGTCCTTAATTTCCTTATTTATCACTTCCTAATGCAAAATTCCTTATGTATTTTGAGAGAAAACAACTTTATAGATTAAGTGGTTTGTGTGTAGGTCTCTCTCCCTCAATTTAAATCTCTCTAACTGGATCAATGGAGTTACAAATTATTTACCTTATTTTATGGAATATTCTCCATTATTTTACCGAGATTCAATCCATATATCAAGGAATCAATACAATGATGATACAGTTCCCCAAAGATATATATTATTTCGAATCTTTAACCATTTTTTAAGGTCAAAGGTCACCGGCTGAAATAAACATGACCCTTTATTTAGGGTTCATGCCCCAGGTGGTCGTATGGGGCACAATAATCCCTAAATACAACTCAATTAATGAGATTTTATTGGCACCTTAATGATTAGCTGTAGTATGGGTGGATTAGCTGTTATGTCTTGATGGATCAGTTGTTATTCATTTGTATCTGAGGCATTTAATAGTGTTCATGTTACTATTAAAATTTGTCTATTATTATTATTTTTTTTTTTAATGTTTTTTTTTGAGGGTTTAATATTAACAACAATAAGTTCATTTTATTTTCTTGTATGAAGCTATTGGTAAATTTCTACTTGTAATTATATAGACAGAAATATTAGGTTATATTTTGTCTCTGTTAATGTCAGTCTGATTGTAGTGTTTTTTAAAAGATCTAATCATAATCTTCATATAATTATCAATAATTAGCTAATATATATATAAAAGTGAAGGAAAACAAATTAATCGTTTTCTGTACATTCATTACAACAAAGAAGAATGTGAATTACTGGTATATAAATTAGGTCTTCTCTCAGAAAATAATACAGTCTAGAATACAGTACCTTTTTTTTCATATTACATAGGGGGTAGCACTCAGCTTTGGACTTTGCCAGTGGTAAAAAAGTGTCACATCTCCATTCGGTTAGTTACTAGTTAGTGACACTTGAGAATGGACCAGTCCACAAATTCTTACAATAAATTTAATGCACATAGAATGAGGAACAATACTCGTATATATGGATAATAAGAGTTGTAACGTTTGTTTGGGAACTAAATAAAAAGTAACAACAAAAAACGAACATTAACAAAAGCAAAAAATTATTTAATTTACCATGTAGTGATAACCTTACACCATATATCAGGTCACAGGAGGGGCAGCCCCATAAGGTAATACGGTAATCTCATTACAGAAAACTCCGTAATGATAATGCCATACTGAGAACTACCCAATAATGTAAACTGGCTTTTTTGCTCTGTATTTAGCATATCTAAGAAACCTGAATCACACAATTTGTTACATTCCTTCCAACTAAATCCAATGCTTTTAAATTTTCAAGAAAATCTTTGTAATACTGAAGAATTATGCTTGATAGCTGAATATAATAAATTCAAATGACTGGTGCCCATACAAGTCAAAACTTAGACAAATATATCTCTCAGTAAGCAATAAAAATGGCAGAAATGTGGCAAAAAATGTTTCCTATAACTTACAAGCAAAACCAATGTACTGTGGCTCCCTGAATACTTGACTCTCCCTGAAGCAACCATTCAACTTCTGAAGGACAACGAGACTAAATTACCGAGACACTACCTTAACCAAACCATCCATGTATGGGGTCTTTTCCCTTCCCAGTGGTCTCTCTATGACAAGTGAAAATTTTTTACTTCCGAGGGAAGTTCAATAAGTTCATTTAACCCCTTCACTAAGGGGTCGCCACTTTTAATACTTCCTTCAGCTCAGAGGGCACCCGTACATAAGGGGTTAAGACATGACAATTAGAAAGAACACCCCGGCTGCTACTCAAAATAAACATACACAACACAACAAAAGAAACGTATATACATCAAAAAGGAGAAGAAAATGATAAACGTTGAATTTCTCCGTTTAGACAACATTCTCAAAATATACCAATTTGTTCGTCGACCAACACAAGAAATTTATTCACTTGTTTGTACAGCACAGTAGCAAAATGCAGATGACCCAGAAGAGTTAAGTTCTAATTTAAATTTCCCATTTTTTGTAATATCTGCATCATGATATTTACCATTACTTTAGAACCAATGCAAAAAAAATCCACTTTCTTTGAGTTTTGCTTCAAATATATAAGATTTTTAAGGGAGAAAAGAAAGTCCAAAATATGAAAGAATCCATCAATTAATTTTTAGTACATTCTGAAATATTGGTGGTAAAACAGGAGCACCAGTGAGATTCATAAGATTTTTTTTTTTAATCCATCAACTCGGAATAAAAACACACACAACCCGAATGCTTTATGACAAGTTACTGATCACAAAGTCGATTGATTCATTCTTCTATTTTCAAGTATTTAATGTACGTTATATAAATATCTCTCTGTTGTAATCCTATATCTAACAATTGAATCCTTCTTTTAGACAGTTTAATCCTCTCCATCCTATCTTCACACCAAAAGTTATAATCCTTCACCAATCTTTCCTTTATTGTGCATAACAGATGTATACAAATGGAAGTAATGGAACAAAATAATGAGATAATAACATATGGCTCTTGAAATATTCCAACATAAAATAATTATAGTCTTTGTCCTCTATGATCCGAGATGACTGGCTGGCTGGGGTAATGAACTTGGGCAGGGAATTATATAGAATGCTGAAGCTCCTGTCAACACAACCACCTTAGCTAAGTCAGTGAGCCATGTAACTCGAGTCTCAATGAATAAGCCAAGAAGACTGTCAAAAATTCAGTAACCCAAATTGATGAGGACAGACAAACAAACTTCAATCCTGGTCAGAAATATAACACCAGAATAACTTATTAAAGTGAACTAGTCTCTACAACACTGGAACTGACAATCCAATTAAAAGATTCTAGGATACTTATAGGCTGTAATCTCTTGGCAGTACGAGGCCTACAGTATACAACGTTCCCCTGAGATCTAACAATACTCTCAGTACTCCAACCCAAGAGCAAAAAAAAAAAAAATTACATCTGTTTTGGCCATTGTGGTTTGGGAAGACTCGATAACAGATCCACCTCTTTCCTTTCAATTGTCATAAGTTATCGGTAAACACACAAGTTAAATTATTAACCGAGGGTCTCGTGAAGCACAAAAAATCTTTAAAAATCAACTCCAGCTTTAAATTAAACTACTGTATTACATCAGAAGAAAAAATCTGGGAGAGGGCAAAATTATGCTAACTCAAAATGCCTGAAGCAATTGTTTTTATTTATTACAGATTAAACATATTAAAAAACGGAAAAAACATTTGTACAGTAAACCCCTGATTCAACGAGAGTTCCATTTTACATGGAAATTCTCAGCCCTACTCTTGCATTAAATCTGGAGTCTACTATACGTACACTCACTGACCTGCTGAAACCAATACATGTACAATATTGATGCACACTGAACTTCTTCATCAAGAACACTCAGAGAGAAAAGGTACAAACCATCCTCTAAACTACACCATGAGATACAGACAGACTCCAGGTACAAGAGAAGCAATGAAACTGTCAAAAACAGATTCTTGAGCAGATACACACACACACACATGATCTGCCCTCAGTGACTGGTACTGCTGGAAGGAAGATTAAGCTGAACATTTCACTGATTTCCTGCACGCACACACACACACACCAATGAATGGTATAAAAAAGCTGCACATTCATTTTCGATTTTCATTGCTCCCAAATGGAATATTTTCCAATCTCAACTTATATAGGCATAATAAGAACCGAGAGGAACTTACGACTGAATCATTATCAGAGAAACTGGTTTTATGATATATATATAAAGTATTGGGTTTAAACCACATATATTAAGTCAATCCTAGTAGAATTTTCCTTCTTTTGGTAATTTACTCATTTATGCAAACGACTACATGACAAATTATTAAAACAAAAATACACTTGATGCCGTCTGTAAGCTCTTTATGGAACGTAATTTCAGGCTGTTATACAAAACAAATTTCTTTGGTAAGGAAATAATAAATATATACAAACAAAAAGAATCTAAAATCAAATATAATTACAAAATCCAGAAAAAACACATATCACACAGTGCCCGTCGGCCTAAACTATATATGTATATAAGTTTAACTATATGAAAATTCTTAATTCTGATATACTGTATATCTATAAAGCAAAATTATAACATGAAAAATCAAACTCGATACATTATCAAAGTCATCTAGAAATAGAAAAAATTGTCAAAGACCATTAAGAAAAAAAAAGATATCAATGGCAAATAATTTGACTCCTCTCAGAGATCTTCCTCGTTACGTCTCCGATAATTTCTAAGGTTGCAGGTAGACACGCGCTTTTTGAACACTAAGGACTGTTCCCCACTCGAGTTTGAGTTTTCAGTTCCATTAATGCTAATGCTACCCCCAATTTCATTTCCAGTTCTATTTTCATCTTCACTTTTTTCTGTACTAGAAGGAAGAACTATAATGCCACTGTCTGGTGTGCTGACGGACGCTGCGCCGTTAGTAGCTTGATTTGACCCGTTCTGCGTTATTTTTTTGTTAAGGGTTGACGGAGGAGCGACGTCCAAGCCACCTGGAAGATCTAGACCGGAAACGAGCGAGCCGTGATCGGCGTCAAATAGGAGAGAGCCGTTATCGTCAGTCGAGATGCTGCTGATGGGGACCGCATCGCTCACAGCACTACTGATGTTTAGCTCATTACCAATGTCATTGATACCGTTACTATCACTGAAACTCTTTTCTGATAAAGTGGCGTCATTTAGGATGTCAGGGATACAATTAGATCTGTTGCTCGTGCCTTCACTGTTCAGATTCTTCCCCGGATCTTGCGTCGTCACATCGATTATAGATCTTTCTACATCTGAATCACTAGAGTTAGAATCAACTATTTCTGATATAACATGTCCATTTTTCCTCTCTGGCGACTCTTCTTCATCACTATCACTGTTACTTAAATTGGTTCGTTTTCGTTTGGAAGGTAAGAGGCCGTCGTCAGTACTGGAATCACTGTCCGAGGACCAGATGAGAGGTTTCCCCTTCTCAACGCCACCATTACTTTCTCTATACTGTTGCTCCACAGTCTGAGCCTCCTCTTCCGTATCACTACCATTACCCTCGTCCTGTTCGTCGGAGTCCGGTTCGGAATCCGGCTCGGTATTTTGAACTACCATGATCGTGTACGGGGCCATGTATCTCGTGCGGTACGTTCTTCGTCTCGCCGATCCGGCAGTGTCCTCCAGGGCGCTCGGCAGACCGGATAATTCACCCCGGACTTGATCTTCAATAGGATTTTGGCCTTCTGGGCGATACAAATATCTGGAAAATAAAAAACACATTAGCGACGTCACGTACCCCCTCTCGGCACGAACACGGTGTTTAGTCACATTTCTGAAAAGCAAGAACAAACCTTTTTTTACTTATTCTTACAAGCTTGTTTCCACTACATTAACCGAGTAACTGGAATCAAGAGCAATTACAGATACTCCTTGTACTCACTGCTCCAACAGATATGCTCTGCTATGGTAAAAAGGGACTATGAGACACTACTAGGGATACATTGAAGAATATGTAACCAGTATAATATATATCTGAAGAGACTCAACAACGGTGAAAAAAGAGGGAAAAAAAAAAAAAAAGTTTCGCCTTCCGTAGTCAATCCCACAGACAAGAAGCGGAGAAGACCAGACAAGACTTCTCAGAAAATAATAAAAATAATATACACACAAGCATGAAATACTGTATCACATCATTGAGTTTTGAGGTATTGAAGGTCAGTAAAATATTGATGAGTCATATACTTTCTTATTTATGCAAGTTAGGTGAAAAAAATAGGTTAAGGAAAAGAGATCATTTGGTAATTAAAAATATCATCTAAAATAGACCTCCCCCTTAAAATTCAATCTGAGAAAACCTTACATTCCTTATCGTAAACGGGGCTAGCATTATACGAACCTCCTTCTGCTCGTGGTAAAGGAACGGAGGAAGTGTTGAGCTTTCTTGCGGTGTCTCCTGAGGTGTTTGCGTTTCCTTCTGGCACGCTTGGCGATCCTAAGTTTGGCTCTCTTCTTGGCGATGAGACGCATGATCCACTCGCTGCCTCCAGATACCTGTAATTTGCATGATTTATCTCTATTATTTCATGTAGGCGCACACACACACACACTTTTAACACACACACACACTACACCCTAACACATACACTAAAATCTCTAACACACACACATGCACAAACACCTCTAACACAGACACACACACACACACTAACAACACAAACACAACACATACACCCAAACAGACAAGTCCCCCGTAATTCATAATCTCTGAAGCTTTAAGCATAGTTTCTCCATAGTAAAGAATATAAGATACTGTACAATAGTCTCAGATATCACCACCTCAGAGAAAACACTTAAACAACTGAATGAAACAACTTTGAGAAAATTAATACCACATTCAACTCTTCAATGAAGAATAAGCCACAAAATACCATCGAATAATTTCACTCTTATTATGTTTCACAGTTGTGGGAGTCATCTATTGCAAACTGAGACACATTATTGGTTATTTTATCGCTGTAGAATAAACACGGGCTAGAAACTTGACTGAGGGAATGAAACACTAGCAATTTATTAGCCATTTTACCGCTGTAGAAGAAACACGAGATATGAAACTTGATCGAGTGAATGAAAGAGAAGATTTTTTTTTACCAAGACCTTCAATTAATAACTAAAAACAACCGTGATCGTGACCCACTTTGTCCCCTTCGTCATCGTCGTCATCATCGTCCTCATCTTCATCATTTTTCGGCGGATCATTGCGCGTCTGTCTTCTCCTCAGCAGCTGATTGGACCTCTGTCTAGTCTGTCGCTGTTCGTCGGAGCTGTCTTGTCCCTGGCCGCCGTTGGGCTCTAGAGACACAGTTCAACATTATGGAAAATCAAGTTATATTATACTATAGAAATAACAAAGAATAAATAGTTAATCAGTTAGCTAAAGTTATCTCGTAAAAATAACACTGAAAATACTAAAAGGATCTTAATATTGTATACAAAAAAATTTAATCTGGATTCATATATAACCCAGTGACTTAACTTTTTTGGGGTTGTTAGAATAATAATTTAGATAATTGTCAAAGTCCATATACTATATATAAATTCTCGATAATCCTTTCATATGCATACTAAGGATATTGGGAGCATTCATCTCTTCACCTCTCTAAGAATTTCAGAAAACTCATTGACTATATACGTTTTGAGATATGGCATTTCCTAATGCTACTACTATTACTACTGTTGCTATTACTACTACTAATATTACTATGAAAACTGATTCTTAGTTTTCTTGGAACTTAATCGCAAAAAAAACTTAAACTGAACAAAGATTTTAGTATGTACCTACAAATATAATACAAGTAAAAACAACTGCCTTTTCCAAATAAGAAGAAAAACATGTATTAAAAAAAAAACCCTTACCATCATCATCAGAATCATTATCATCGGACTGTGATGTAACGACAGAGAGGGACGACTGCGTTGTTGTGGTCTCTGTGCCGTCGTCATCGTGCCCTGAGAGTTGTGGATCGTTGTCGATATCATCAGAGAGATCCGTGTTGGAGGTCCAGCCTTCCACCTCTCTCTGAACCAGGGAGTCGAAGAAGGCCATCATGCGTGGGTCCTCGTCCGTGCTGCCGTGGCTGTAGTCGTGATTCACATCCTGTAGGGTGAGGAAAAACTTTGATCACAAACACACGTACCTGGCCAACTGCATATGATGGCCTCATGGACAAATTACAACAAGTTTTTCCTAATACACGATGGCCAGAATCACACCAAACACTGACCTTTCTCTCACTGGCTGTCAATCAACCCACATACAGATAACAAACACAATTATCTAGATTACTGCACACAATAGCCTCCCTTCCTAATGGGCAAATTACAACAAGCCTTTCCTAATACCCCAAAATAAAGACCTTCCCAAGACATTACCCCCAAAGACCCCAAAATAAAGAACCTTTCTACTCCAAACATTCCATGACATTACCCCAAAATAAAGACCTTCCAAAGACATACCCCAAAATAAAGACCTTCCCAAGACATTACCCCAAAGACCCCCCAAAAAATAAAGGACCTTCCTATTCCAAGCATCCCAAGACATACCCCCACTACCTGGCCACTCTCCATAACTAGTCCAATGTATTCCTCGTGCGTGTAGACTCTTCTGGTCATGAAGCTTCCGGAATTACTCGTCCTCAGGCTCCCATTCGACCCAGGCAGGGACAGTCCACTCCAAAGCTGCCGATAGAAAGGGGAAAAAATAAATAAAATACAGATCGCAAGAAAATATCAATGAATGTACTCTGAGGAAATTAATACGTTCTCTCTCTTAATTATCATCAATCGGATAAAATTCCCTCTCGGACAATATCCCCCTGGACAAAAACACCTACTCGGTTATAAAGTGCAAAGTTGGACAAATTCCCCGCCCTCCATTTTTTAATATATTCCTGATGTTAATTAAATCTTATAAAACCTTTTACCACTTGGTTTTCTCTGGTATGAATCAGTTTTCTACTCAGAACATCAATCCTATTCAAAAATATCTTATAATTCTACTGTACGTTTTCTACCAATTCCGAAGAAGTCTAAATACAGATTCACCTTTATAAATGTACACAAGCACAAACCTATCTTCACAAACATACACCAACTTCAACAAAAACAAACTTCCATTACAGAGCACCTAATGCATTTTACACCTACAAACATACCTTCACAATCTTCTCTACTCCTGATGAGGCGATGATGAAGTTCTGTGGGTTGAAACGCACTTGATTTACGATGGAACGATGACCTTTTAACACCATGTGAGCTTCGGATACAAAATGATCTGTTGAAAAGAGGAGGAGGAGAATTAAGAGGTTGTAGATAGCTAGATACATAACCTGCCTTGAAAACCTTCAGTTAATTATTTTTTTACCTTCTAGTTCAGCTAAAATCTGTGTATGTTTTGAGTCCGGTGATGGCATCTTTATGACAGCTCGGAGCATAGAATATCCCAAGTGATGCTCTCTTTTTAACAGGCCGGAGCATAGAATATGCCCAACTATGCTTTCATTTTGACAGGCCAGAGCACAGAAAGATAATCAAGCTCGAGACAATGACCACTACAGAATATAAATAATAACAGTACACTCGATCATATAGGGAGAATTCAACACACAGTCTGACCCAAACATACGAGTCGTCTGGAAAGTCATCATAAATTTTTACAAGCCGGACGTTCAGAATGACTAGTCAATAGACATCAAAGGATAATCATTCACCACAGGAACTATAAACCTTCACTGTACAGGAAATTAAGAACTGATGGATTTAATTATAGAGGAAAATAGTACAGTGTGCAGAGAACTTATTATCATTCTATACTTACCTGAACTATTACTTTCAGGTATCTTCCACATGTATAGATTGAAGTCATCCGACCCCGAGAGAACAAACTGATCGTTGTCGCCTGCAAAACAACAACTCTTCATTGTGCACGAGTTGTAGTAATGTTCAGCATCAAACTGTAAGGACGAAAATAGAAGATCGATTGATTGTGGTAATAACATCCCTGGTGGTACAACATATGCCGGTGAATTAGAAAATAGAGGAAATTTACATCACCTGTTGATTTTACACATATCGCTTCAAAGTGGGTTGTCTCGTAGAGTGTTCTCCGTCCCTATGATAATTTCCAAGTCCTAATCTTAAAAAAAAATTTAACCCCTTCTCCACCAGATGCCACTTTAAATATTTTATTTACCTAACACCAGATGATTTTATTCAGCACAGAGACACACAAGAGATTAAACATTCAACACAAACTAAAATTTTAAAAAAATATATAAATTAAAAAGTTATATCAAGGGGCAAAAAAAAAAAGGAAGAGCGTTCATCTACCGTACCTGACAGACGGGTTTTGAGCTGTGCGTGTCGTAGAGGACTGGGGGAAGTCTTCTACGGAGAGCGATGATCTGGCTGCCCGTTCGGTTGAATCTTGCACACATGGACGACTGAGCACACCGCTTCTCCCCGTATCTCAGCACAGGTCTACGGATATGAGAGGCTGTAATCTACTGTACTAAAATCATAGAGAAAACAACACGTTACTGCACTGACTAACTGATATCGTAGAGTGAGTTTGAGGCTGTTGGTGTCTTATTGTTATTTATCATTTCACCACTTATCACCTTACTAACTGAAAAATAAACAGGTACAGTACTACATAATCCTACATCACTAACTCACATACAAAAACATTTCTTAATACAATACAGTGCAACCTCCATATAACAGGCGAGATGGAGGTCTCACATATAACAAACCCTCGATATAATAGACATATATAGTCCAAACACCGTAGCGTATATAGAACTACTTTAAACCACAACAATAATACACAAAGATAATATTTCAACAGGATATTACACACAGTTACTCACATTCTGGGCTTACGGATGTCCCATAGTGAAACGCCTTCCCGAGAATTAGCCGTGACTACAAACACTGATTCTATTGGATGGAACTGTACAGCGTGGAAGGCGTCGTGATAGCGCGCCAAACACACGGGATCTGCGAAAGAAAACATATCCGTTTCGGCTCGTCAACGTAACATATCCGTCCCGGCTCGTCAACATAACATATCCGTTCCGGTTCGTCAATGTATATATATTTTAATCAATGTTTATATATTTTTTCATTGATGTATATATAATTTCATCAATGTATATCACTGATTTTTGGTGTCTAAGCATTGTTAATTTTCTAGGGTGAGGAGTTTAGTGGACAAAATACTGAGACAGAGAGAGAGACAGCATAGGTCATGGAAATGTGTCTCCAGTTCTGATGGCTGAGGGAAGGAGGAGAAGATGAAGAAGAAAAACTAGAATTACGAGGAGGAGGGGAAGAAGGAGGAGGGGAAGAAGGAGGAGGGGAAGGAGGAGGAGGAGGGGAATAAAGAGGAGGAGGGGGAGAAAGAGGAGGAGGAACAGAAGAAGAAAAAGAGAACAACAAAAAAATAGAAAGAAAGAAGAGAGGAAAAAAGTAAGGACAAAATAAATACAGAAATAATGAAAGAATGAAAGAAAAGAAAGAAAAACACCCATACCTGATGTAGCAGACTCCCTCATATCATAGAGCAACACCTGACCGTCTTCTCCAGCACTGGCGAAGACTGAGTCGTGCGTCGGACTTACAGACACCCCATACACGGCCTCCCGGTGCAGGAACACATCCACAGTCTCGCCCCTAGAAAAATAACACGAGTGGAAAAATGGCTGTATGACGCTGATGTGGCAACACTGTGTTTGTTTACATAGTATTAAAAGTCCCAGAATAGCCTTGAGGAACCTAGCAATAGCAGCCAGATTAAGAATGCTACAAAAACAAACACAGAGTTGCCACAACTCACGGAACACACCAGCCACTGTACCAAGTACAATAGAAGGCGACTGTACATGAACACCAGACATTTCTTCCCCGCGTTAGGTTAAATTTTCTTCTTCCCTGGGGTCATCCATCTGTTAACCCTGGACTACCACAAAGCTACGTCAAGTTATGTTTCCAAACACTCACAAACTCACTACAATGTTGATTTTATTTCTTAATTAACAATACAGTATAAGAAAAATACTGTAACATACCAGCAGCTCCTCACCAGTAATGAGACTCCACAAGTAGCTAGTTCATTAATAATTACAGTACTGTACTATACTGTATGTCTAATTGAATAAATACCCCAAAAGTGTACCTTGATTTTCTTTATTTATACCTTGTTATATTCATAAATTACTATATTTTCATTGTGTTCACATCGCTCTTGAAATTAAATTAAACTTTCTATTTCTTGCAAAGTTTCTGGACTCTGAAACTTCCGATGTAACAGAGGGTAGTCCGTTACACTGAGGTGTCACATACAACGGACTAACACTGTGCTATCATTAAACCTCAAAACAACATCAATTCTTACATATATTACAATCCTGTTCTATCATTAAACCCCAAAAGAACATCAATTTTCACGTTTTTAAATCATTTAGTATTCTTAAACCTCAAAACCACATCAATTCTTACATTATTAAACCCTGTACTATCATTAAACCTCAAAAAACACATCAATTCTCACATTATTAAACCTTATACTATCATTAAACCTCAAAACAACATCAATTCTTACACTATTAAACCCTGTACTATCATTAAACCTCAAAACCACATCAATTCTCACATTGTTAAACCCTGTACTATCATTAAACCTCAAAACAACATCAATTCTCACGTTGTTAAACCCTGTACTATCATTAAACCTCAAAACAACATCAATTCTCACATTATTAAACCCTGTACTATCATTAAACCTCAAAACAACATAAATTCTCACATTAAACCCTGTACTATCATTAAACCTCAAAACAACATTAATTCTCACGTTTTTAAATCATGCACTATAACTTGTTCATCGTTGCCAGCCGAGAAGATCTTGGTGTTGCAGGAGTCAAAACTAAGGCAGAAGATGTTGCTGTTGTGTTCTCCCTTCATGGTATGTGGCCGGTGGTTCCCAGACAAGGCACCGTCTACGTTCCACAGCAACACACGCCGGTCGTCACCTCCTGATTGGCAAAAGTTGTAAAATTATATTGCTAGAGCATCATAGGAAGAGGGAGGAAGAAAAGGAGGAGTAAGAGGAAGGAGTAAGAAGAGGAGAAAGGAAAGAGAGAAGGAATATGAACAGGAGGAGCAGGAAGGAGGAGGAGGAAGAGTAAGAAGAAGCAAAAGAGCTATAGATACAAAATATACTAGTTAAGTATACAAATTTAACCCCTCCACTACAGGGATGCCACTATTAATATTTCATGTACAGTACTTAACACCAGACAATAGCATTCAGCTCAGAGGCGACCCCACACACACACACACACACACAAGGAAGTAACGGGTACAATTAAAAATAGCTAAGCACAAACCACATTCTAAAGGCAGACTCACTTTTTTAAGCCACAAATCACTTTATAAAACACACTGATGATTCTGGATAAATAAAAAGAAACACATACAGAAAATAAACAGGCTGAAATATAATAATACAGGAAATAATAATAGAAATAATAATAATAATAATAATAATAATAATAATAATAATAATACACAGAAGCAAGGAATGGCATTTTAAGGCTAATGGTTCCTCACGAGTGCCTAACCTAACCATCAAGACAGCAATCACAAAACATTACTAGGTAGAGTCTGTCATTATCCCAAGAAAGAGAGCAATGCTTAGTAAAAGAGACGTATCTTCCCCGTAGACTGGTGTACCTCTCATGGGATATGTCGGCACGAGAGGAGGTACTGTAGTCATGCATCGAGCACATCATTTAATAAGAGATGTAGCTGCAGTATATCAAGCACATCTCATTATGAGAGGCAGCTTATTTCACCTTAAGATTAGTCTCCCAGCTTTTTTCGCCTTAAAGATTAGTCTAACAGCTTTATTTCATCCTAAAGATTAACCTCCCAGCTTATTTCACCTTTAAAATTAGTCTCCCAGCTTTATTTCACCTTGAAGATTTACCTCCTAGCTTATTTCATCCTAAAGATTAGTCGCCCAGCTTATTTCACCTCAAGATTAACCACCCCAACACTAACCTACCCCCCCCCCAGGTACATTTTCTAATCATCAGGTAAAATAAGCTGAGGGGGGCTAATCTTCAGGTGATCCAATATTCCTCTCAATAATATAAATAGCTACAATAAAACCTCTATTTAACGGACTACATGGAGAGGAAAGTCCATTATATCGAGGGTTCATTAGACGTGAAACCTCCATCTAACGAACTACATAGAGATGAAAATCCATTATATCGACGGTTCATTAGAAGTGAAACCCCCCAATATCAAAGACAATATGGAGAAAGAAGTACGTTATATGGAGGTTTCACAGTATACAATAATGAGATGAATTCTGTGTTATTAACTCTGACGGTGAAAACCATTATCTGATAAGTTATCAAGATATTATACGGTAGCTAAACACAGTACGGTACTCTAGCTAAACTATACCGTATGTTTTTGAGGCATGTATCTTGCATTTGGATATTACAATAATGAATTGGCCTTTTATGTAGTTGTTAATTACAGTACATATAACATTTACCTGGTGAATCAAGAACCGGTCAAAGATAGAAATTTTATCTACCGTATATGTTTCAAAGCAAAATAAAAACCAGCAAATAATTGATAAACAGAACAGGGTGACTAATCTTTAAAAAATATATATTTAAACACTGAAAAACTAGGGTGTCTAATATTCAAGTGATGAGGATATCAAAACAAGTTCATTTTTCCTCATGTTCAGGATAGGCCTACACAAACCTCAGCACTATCAAAGTAAATGTGTATTCTATCAAAGTAAACCTCTAATTCTATCAAAGTAAACGTGTAATTCTATCAAAGTAAACCTCTAATTCTATCAAAGTTGGCCTCTAATTCTATCAAAGTAAACGTGTAATTCTATCAAAGTAAACCTCTAATTCTATCAAAGTAAATGTGTAATTCTATCAAAGTAAACCTCTAATTCTATCAAAGTAAACCTCTAATTCTATCAAAGTAAACCACTAATTCTATCAAAGTAAACCTCTAATTCTATCAAAGTAAACCACTAATTCTATCAAAGTAAACCTCTAATTCTATCAAAGTAAACCACTAATTCTATCAAAGTAAACCACTAATTCTATCAAAGTAAACCACTAATTCTATCAAAGTAAACCACTAATTCTATCAAAGTAAACCACTAATTCTATCAAAGTAAACCACTAATTCTATCAAAGTAAACCACTAATTCTATCAAAGTAAACCTCTAACTCTCTGTCTGAACTCATTTTCTGCCTTGCTTGTCCAATATCATACACAAACCTGACCTCTTTTATCATATATCTAACATTACTCAACCGTATCATTGTGAGTTTGATCAAAATTACAGAAAATAGTTTGTTAATTTAGCACAGTTTTACCTGGGTTTGTAAAAGGGGTACTGTACTGTATACCTGTATTGTAACTAATTAAAGGTGAAGACATGTGTAAGTACAGGTAACTACTGTATTATGTATAGTGCATTATGGTTACAATACACATTTCAGAGCCATTTTCAAGAACTTAATTGAACCTGAACCGTATATACAGAAATAAATTTAAATACAGAATGGATAAATTTTCAATTCTATATTCATTTGGAATTCTGCTAAAAAGATCCAGTTCATTATTAAAGAGGTTTTTTTAAAGGAATGGAAATTTAAATACAGTAAAGTAAACCCTTGCCGTTCACAACTTACACTACTGGATACCTATACCAAACAACTGACAAGCCGCGGCAGCACTCATCCCCTCCTTTAACTTATATAATAATAAAACTTTCTTAGCTAGGGTCATCACTGACTTCTGCTTTTTACATTTCACTCCACTAGCACTGACACTTGGCAGTCTTTTAGGGGCCATTAAACACACAAACACTAAAGTTTTGAGAGTACAACACGAGATGCTGCGGGAAAAGGCTCGCAAGCTAGCTACCATGGCCACCATCTGGTTACCGCGAATAGCCGAAATCGCAAATGGCAAAGGTCTACTGTATATACCCAATAACATTTTTTACTTTAATACAGTGAATGCAATTCTGGTTGAGAAGCGAAAATAGTAATAGTTTATCGTATTTTTGGGAAAAGGACAGAATCAAGTTGATAATTAGGTTAGAATAATGATTTTTCAATGCATGTGTATTTTTAAGAAGAATTTCCACCCAAGCCCACTCCACATAAAGAATCTTCACCCCAGCCCACTCAACATGAAGTACCTCCCCATCTGGAGCACTATCACCCCATCTGGTCCCCGAGATATGCTAGGGACTGTCAGTTGGTTGAAAATGTTCAAAGGACGGCCACCAGACTGGTGCCTGCCCTTCGGCACCTCAGCTACCCTGAGAGATTGGAGCGCCTGAACTTGCCTAGCTTATACTACAGACGGGCAAGGGGTCACAGATCAAGATTGAAGAAGCCGCAAGTCCAGAAAACTGTGAGGGCAAACTTTTTCGTTGTGAGAGTTGTGAACTCTTGGAACAATCTACCAGAAAGTGTTGTGACGGCACCGAGTGTGAGCTCTTCAAGACCAGACTTAACCAACACTGGAGCAAGTTCAGGTACATTAAGGAGCCGGTGCATGCCCAGTACTTGCCAACAGTGCGTGACAGAGACGTGACCGATCACCCAAGCGGCTAACGAGCTGATCAGTGATGAAGAGGATAAAAGTAAAAGTAACCCACTCCACTTGAAGAAAATCCACTCCAGCCCACTCCATCTGAAGAATACCAACCCAACCCACTCCACATGAAGAATCTCCACCCCAGCCCACTCAATCTGATGAATAGCCACCCCAGCCCACTCCACTTATAGAATCTCCACCCCAGCCCACTCAATCTGAAGAATCTCCACCCCAGCCCACTCCACCTTAAGAATCCCCACCCATCACAACACAACCCGACTGACAATATTAAATGGCGCATTGCTATCAAAATCAGACACTCTTCAATGATACCTTTAGCTTACAGACCAATGGCATGCAGGCAGTGGTGATGAAGGAGGAAGTTACTGAAGACACAATGCAAGGTTCCAGGTTCTTATGATGCTACTTAATATAAATCTTTTGAAAAAAATAATGGTAAGAAATAAAAGTTGTCAGTCATGCTCAACAAAATTACATCTTATCCTAAACCTAACCAAACTAAACCAAACCTAATCGAACCTAACTTAACCAAACCTAACATAACCTAACCAAACCTACCCTAACCTAACCTAATAAAACCTACTCTAACCTAACCTAACCTAACCTAACCTAACCTAACCAAACCAAACCTAACCTAACCTAACCTAACCTAACCTAACCTAACCTAACCTAACCTAACCTAACCTAACCTAACCAAACCTAACCTACCCTAACCTAACCTAACCTAACCTAACCTAACCAAACCTACCCTAACCTAACCAAACCTACCCTAGCTTAGCCTAACTTAACCTAACAATCCTGGGTTGAATTATAGTGTCAGAAAAGGCTTTAGTAATACTAATATGATTTCTGTTGGCAATGAATTTGTTAAACTCATTTTTTTTCTTTACTCTACTATATGTGTTGTGTTTTAAAGCGAATATGTTAATGATAGCATCGAAACCTTCCACTAATTAAAGTAGCGACCCTTCCTTACCCTATGCCATGTACCTTAAAAATTTCAATACTTACCAGACACCAATAGATCCCCTTCCCTGGAGAACTCAATGGCGTTGACACATCCATAGTGAGCGTAGAGATCCTTGCGGTACAGATTCTTCGAGGCATCCAGTCTCCGCGAGAGGAATGACGCAGAAGCTACCGTAGGACCCCAGTCCGGTCGGGCGGAATGATAAGCTCGCCATTCCAGATAGCGAACGGAACAGCCCGATAACTCACTTACTTTCCCCGATGTTCTCATTTTCACTAATGCACTTATTATTCACTACCACAAACATGAAAAATAAATTATCTTGATAAGTACAATAGGGTCATTCACTTTAACAGGCCTATTATCCATGCCACGAAATGCTATACCCTCATATCAGTCAACCTGGAAAAGGAACATTAATGACCAATAAAATACCTCTTAAAACTTCACTTACTTCACTTATATATAATTATAATCTTGAGCTATATTCTTTTATATTTCACAACCCAACATATATAGATAAATATTATATGATAGTCCAGTAAAATGATAAAACATGGAGTGAGAAACGTCAAGTGGAGTGTCTCAGCTGATCCCCCACCTGATCATTGTTTATGTCTCTACCACCTCCACGGGCATCCCAAGGCCGAAAGTTTTCACACCAATTCTAACCTTTACATCTACCTTACTACACTATCTAATGTCTACCGTAGAGATTATAGCTTGTCCAATCTTCCATCAGAGACATTGTATAGGTTGATGAAACACTGGTTAGTAATTTGAGAGGAAAAAAACGTGTCAGCTCCCACAATCAGCTGACGGACTCGACCTCCTCCATTCCGCTCCACGCCTGCCTTCCCCTCCACCACATACACACAATAGGCTAAGGATTCTCTTTATTCCCTCTAAATTAATAGCCAGAAATATCATCTAAACCTACATTATTCGATTAATTCGCGAAAGTAATATCTACAACGAGTAAGAACTGAGATATGTATAATTATATTCCCGAACACAAAATTGATTGTTGTTATTCCGTGTGCGTCTCTAGCGGATGGGTCAGAATTGCTTGTTAAGTTCTGCTCGTTAATTATTCTCACAATCCCGTAATGACATGGAATAGTAGTCTTCACTCAGTATCATTTAATATTTGAGGTGATAGTTGGTATTGTAAGTACATATATTATTATTCATTTAAAGGCATTGATAAATCTTAATCTAAATTGAGTTGTCACATACACGATAATCTTCCTTGATGATTCAAACGTCAAATTTACCTTCAGTCAAGTTAATATTTATCAAGTGTCATGTGGGAGGAGGAAGATTAATAAATACAGTAAAGTATTATAAGACTACTATAATATATAATAGCAAGAAACAATCCAATAGCAATATGCAATTAAAAGTGGTAAACAAACTATGGCTACAGTACTTATATGATGAACTTAGAAAACACCGAATGCATCGATTAATTCACTTTCTAAATTAGATTCATAACGGAAAAATGTCTTTGGAATTAAACCATATATAACCCATAAGTAAAAACATGAGGATTTCTATAACTCCGCCCGTCCTTCTGTCCGTCCGTCTGTCTGTCTGTACCCAAATCCTGTTATCGTCAATTACATTGATTTTTTTTAATCAAACTTGGTACAATTGTTTAGAATAATAATACAAACGTGTTCACAGAATGGTTTTAGGTTTAGATGAATATTGGTGGACTACTGACCGTATATGATAGCCTATCCTAGAATGATAGCGGACTCGATAATACTGTCCAATACTTTGCTTTCTTGTTTTTTTGTTATTACCTCCACAAAAAAACGAGTTATTAGTAAATATTAAATTATTAAATGGTCATTCATCATATATTTGCCATGCCTTTGATTTTATATCGTTCTTATGATGATAGTAAAGTACAATGGGTGGAGAATAAGAAAACATCTGAAACGTAAATTTCTTCTCGAAAAATAAACATTATAAAAATTACTCTGGGTTGATTAATCTGGATTATTTTAAGACGTGTTGTGCCGAATTTGTTCTGTTGCATCAAAGTTGATTAATCGTAAGTTTTATAAGCATGAACTCTCAAGTGGTGTGTGAACGCTGACCATTGTGTTCATTTTAATTTATCATTTTTTCCATTTATCAGCTTACAAGTCGTTCGGGCGGTTAGTCTGTTCTTAAGTATAACAATTTATCATCCATTATTAATACAGAAGGAAACTGGAATACCCTGAGGACACCTGTGATGTTGGAAGGTAATGCTCACCACACCAGTAGGTAAGTCTGATGTCTAACGCAGCTCATCAAACTCACCCGCATTTTCCTTTATCGACCCATACACATTGGTCTTCATTTATAAGTTAGATGATGTGATAATCTACAATAACTCTACGTAATCTACGGGGTTTTAAGGGACCTGCCGGCTGAGAACAATCTAGAAAAACATCAATTAGGCCAGCCCCACATACCACCTGGTCGGCGTCATGTTGAATTTGCATGTAAAGTTTATCTGCTGTGGGTGATGCTTAGTGCTGTGACTTGCTGTGGGTGGTACTATGCTGTGAATTGCTGTGTTGTGACTTGCCGTAGATAAAGCTGTGCTGTGAATTGCTGTGACTCGCTATGCTGTAACTAACTATAGGTGATGCTTTGTGAGTTTATATTAAAACAAATAATCTAACCCTAAGGTATCGTCATGCGTCGAAAAGTAACAAATGTCTCCATGAAGTAATAATACCATAAGAGAGAAAGACTTATTAAATTAATCTTCCTTTTAAAAATCATAAATTCATTACAAAACAATTATCATAGACTTACAGGTGTATTGTGTATATTGGTTAATACGTTATTTCACTTACAGGGCAGTTGTGATGGTTGTATGACTCCACAAGATTACAACTGACGTGTCGGCTAATGGCTATAGACAAGAATCAAGATGAATTAACAACCAGGTTTAGACCAGAAAATGAGAACCGTGGTCTAACGTATAAAAGAAATTGAGACTAGTCCTTCTGAAGAGGTAAGTACCGACTGAGTTTAGTTTTGTCCAAATATATGACTGATTCTTCAAAATACGTGTGTGTGTGTTTATTGACAAGACGTTGTGTGTTTTAGCGGTGTTTTTTGAATGACTTAAGACTACTGAAGAGCTGAGGGGTTGAATCTTGAAGTGAAAAAAGCTGGGCGTTGAATCTAGCTGTGAAATAAGCTGGGGACGTTGAAGCTTCAAGTGTAATAAACTGGGGGCGTTTAATCTTCAGGTGAAATAAACTGGGGGCGTTGAATCTTCAGGTGAAATAAGCTGGGGGTTGAATCTTCAGGCGATCCAACTTACCTTAGAAAAATATCTCTTCACTAAATGTTATATGTCACAAAAGTTGATGGGTTACTGGTATGGTTCTTACACGTTGGCAAATCAGCGGACATTTTTTTTTCTTTTTATATTTTTTTTTCAGATAAAATATTAAACTCTGAAATGAATAAGTAATTTTGCTGTGAATTTTGTTCCCTTCTGCATAAGTGGCTATCACCCACAGATAAAGTGACTATGGATGAAGCGAATAAAAGAATTACAAATAAAGTACATATGAAAGGAAATGTAAATATATATAGATCTTGTATTTTTTTATTTATCATTTCACGAGTTATTATCTTCCTAGCCATTTGGAACAGTTGGCCCATCCAGTGTTAGGAGGAAACCGGAGTGCCCGGAGAAAACCTGTGATGTCTAGTAATGGTCACACTGGATAACACCCTTCTCACGTGTGTCTGGGTTCAGCAGCTCTCCAACCATTGACGTATTGGCGAGAGATACGCGTGTTAGTGCTGTACTACCATCATACCATATTGCTTTTATCCGCTTTGCCACTGATCGGTTCGTTAGCCACTTGGGCAATCGGTCACGTCTCTGTTACGCACTGTTAGCAAGTATGTAGCAGTCTAGTACGGTGAAACCTCTATTTAACGGTTACAGTATTGTAGTCTTTTAGAATTACCAATAAGCAATACTGTAATCACGTGGTTATGTCTTTATGGATTAAGGTCGGTATTTCATGGATCATGGATTCAAAAGTACCAGTAATGTTTATAAAATTTAAATTATTTTTTCAACATCTCAACTTCTTTTACTATATATACATAAATGCATATCTCCCCTATTAACTGAATAAATATTACATCTTGGGCATAAAAAAATAAAAATAAAATAAAATATAATATTGCATCTCTCTTGAGCCAACTGGTAAAGAAGGAAAGAAAATATCACAGAAAAAAATTTAACAAAGTAATAGAATATATATACAGTATACAGTACACAACGTGGATAAAAAATAAAATATTCACAACAAAAATGAGTCAACTCCCTCAAGCATTCTCATCACATTCAAAGATCTTATTCTTCGCAAAGATAAATAAGTCGAGCATTTACGCTTCCTAGGTTTAACATAATCACTTTTACAGATTATATTTACAATACGACCAGGAGTTTTGTCATGTAAAATCAATACTATTGGACACTGTTTTACTATATAACAATTTATAGAAAATATAATAGTTTATGGAAGATATATTTAAGTACTAGAAACGAAACACACACACATACACACACGCTCACTCACTCACAGGTGTAAACTCTCTCACACCATTTCATCAATCAGTTGCTCTTCAGTGGCTGCATGTTGTAGATGTGTGCTCTTTCCTGCTGCCTAATACTGAACATTCTATTTCTGTTGTTTATATTAAAAAATAGCAAATATCTATTAATTAATCTTTTTATAAAACTTTCATCTTTGTATCGTCTTGGAAAATCAGTTTCATATCTGCATCATTCCAACTTATGGTGTACAAGTACAGGATAAAACCGCATTTATCTTTTTTTAACAACAATTAAAAACGAGTTATACACAACACAGAGTTCTTGTACAGTATATATAAAACCGTAATTCATACAATATACACGAGCAAAATAAGTGTTAAGTCATACATATACAGTAATTAATAAACTTTTAAGTCTTTTTCATTGCACAAGTCGATTCATAAATAGAGCTGATGCACAATAAGCCATTTTGTGAAGTGAGGATCGGCACACTTGAGAGGTTCTATTGTATTATTAGCCACATTCCTGATCACAAATAATTTAAACTGCTCTGTAACTCCATAAATAACCAATCCTAGGATAATTTTTTGATCTACCTCTCCTACCATAACACGGGTACAGTATACGGTAATTAATTTTAATAAATGGGAGGAAAACTAAAAAAAAAGAGCCGAGTTTCTTTATTTCTCTAACGTTTCGCGCTACAGAAACGTTAGAGAGAGTAAAGAAACTTAGCTCTATTCCGTGTTGTCCCTCCCCGCCCCATACAAACCACTGTCATGGAGCGAACACTCGGTTAAATGATCAGGAACAGACTCCCTCGTGTACGCATCTGGATATCCACGTCCAGAACTCAGGGACTGAAGTGAATATGGTGAACTCCCTGGGGCACGCCGACTCCGAATATAACGACGATACGATCCCCGATATCACCCATTTCTCATGAGCCTCGTTTTGGACGTTGACCAGGTACGGCCCGCCTGATGAACCCTGGGCTAAGACCCGATGCGATTCTGTTGGAAGGAGAAATGGTTGTACAGTGAAACATCTATTTAACGGACTATATGATGGAAAGAATGTTATATCGAGGGTTCGTTAGATGTGAAACCTCCATCTAACGAACTAGAGATGAAAGTCCATTATATCAAGGATCCAATGACTAATTACTGTACTACAATCAATGACACACACGATCATTAATTAATTCTTCACTCAATGCCCTAAAACAATGACGATGATAATGACAGCAATACTGATGATGAGTGGCAACGAACTCCCCCTAATCAATGACATGTAGTATACTGTATCCGTCAAACAATTTCATCCAGCGTTACTTACTTGTATCAATAGCACAGAACTGGTCCTTGTCGATGGCTAAAGTGGCACAAGGACCGCGGATTGAGAGGCAGCGTGTGTCGTAATTCTGCGGTATCAACTCCCATCCATAGTTTAAAGATGTCCGAGCAAATGTCTGCGGAGAGAATAAAAACTTATTAATAATCTTATACGGAAAACAAAACTAAAAAAAAAAGGATTGTGTTTTGATTATTCAGTTTTACTCGTAATTTTGTACGAATACTTGAAACGACTGATAAATTGAGACATAAGTAAGTGTTATGAAGAGTCCTTAGCAACACCACAACATAATAACCCCTCTGAGCTGAATAAAAATCGTCTGGTATTACCCAAATAAAATATCAAAAGTGGCGTCCCCATAGGGAAGAGGTTAGGTATTATGAAAGCATTCTTAAAAACATGGCTTCTACTGTAATTAGAAAAGGCTTGACAAATACCAAAAAATAATCACATAAAAATACTAACTGCAGCTATTCTGTCCACTAAGAGTTCACCCGAGAGGACACAGGCAGGATAAACTTTGTGGGAAAAGATGATCTCTCTCTCCACCTGAACCAACGCTATGTCGTGGGAGGGTCGTCGGCCAGAGATAAAGCTAGGATTCAGTTTTACGCCAGTTACCTGAAAGGAGATATTATAGTTATTAATTACTGGAAATATTCATAGACGTAGATGATACCTCAGTATAAGTAAGCGAATGTGTGGAAGTGAAGAAAAGTCTAGTCTAAAGTTGCAGAGAAGAGAAGAAAAGAGAAAAAGCGATTAATTTCTAGTTATCAACCGATCGTTCACACTCACAAAGTCCTTTATAAGTTTTCCACTTGAATCTATTCGCTGGATCCTCAAGTTACGCACGTCCACCGTCTCTTTAGAAGTCTCCTGAGTTCTGCCATGAATGGAAACCATATATTATACAGTATTTCTATTTATCATTTCACCAGTGGCCATCATTTACATCAACAGTGAAATTACAAATCTGACAGTCAAGAACTCTGTAAAATATGCACAGGACTTGTGTCACCGTGAAAGACTGTTATAATACTCTGCAAAGCATCCCACAAATCATAATTCATTTACAGAGACACATCTCCTTCAAAGGGTTAAATAATTGTCATCAAAGGGTTATATCATCATCATCAATGGTTTAAATCATCACCAAAGGGTTCAAACATTATCCTCAAAGGGTCAAACTGTGTCCGTAATACTGGCAAAAAGTCTGAACTAACGTCAACAAACCTCGAAACGCAATGGGCAGCGGTGAGAATAAAGTGCGGAGTGATGATAGTCGCTGTGCAGATGTACCTCTCGAGAAGGAACAGCCCCACTAACCAAGGCCACTGTGGCTCTGGCTGGATTACACGCGACACACTTGGGTTTACGTATCGTGGTCGCCGGCCGCACACTGCAAGACAACAAAACATAATCAGACACCACTGGGTATGGTTCTTTTGGGTTACACAGTTTATATTATAACTTTCTTAGATTATAGTAACCTTAATGAACTACTGTATATGAGATGCCTTACTGGTACGTCCCTGAAGAGAAAATCCTGATTCCTTGGTGCAACAAAGCACTGTACTGTACTTTGTTGTATCGTCGTGGGCAATGAGAAGATTTTCAATGTATTAAAGGAAGAATTTATGATATAAAAATAAAATACCGGTAAAAGTCAAACACACGTTACAAGAGGTGTTGGTGGTACAGTGATAATATGTGTATCTCTCATAATATGTCCTGGGTTCAATCCCCAACTCAAGACAGATGTAAGAAGAATGTTATCCAGTGTGATACTAAAAATGAAACACGACAGGTTTTCTCCGGGTACTCCAGTTTCCTCCTGTGCAATAAAGGTCACAACAAAGCTTAGAAGGTCATAACAAAGGGGGCACTGCAGAACTCACCATGAGAATTGATAAAGTTCGGCTGACACAACAATCGTGTCGGCTTGACAGTGCTATCCTGGTTGCCGTATGGGAGCCACATGCCATCAGGTTGGCACTGTGCAAGATGCGTTGTGCCCCAGCAGTCGGCCATAACCACACTCAGCACTGGGACGCCTTCTGTCGACCCACAGAGGGGAGAGCTGTAGGTCAGGAATAAATTTTTGAGCCATTGATACAGGAGTCAGTTGAGAACCTAACATATTTAAGACTCATGGATAAAGGAGTCAGTTGAGAACCTAACATATTTAAGACTCATGGATAAAGGAGTCAGTTGAGAACCTAACACATTTAAGACTCATGGATAAAGGAGTCAATTGAGAACCTATTTAAGACTCACTGATACTCGAGTCAGTTGAGAACCTAACTCATTTAAAACAAAATTTACGACACAGGAAGCCAAAATTTACAGGCAGGCGATGCACAGTGCCACATCTTAATACATCCACAAGTTTTAAGTCATTTAGGAAACTGACTGTAAGAGTAATAAGGTTAAACAAGGTCAATTAACTTACTTGGGACTCCTGACGATTCCCTCCAGGTTCCTGCGAAAGAGAAAAAAAGAGAATTAAATCCTTTTATCTGATTGAAAAATGGGTGTTATTACAGTGTGAGGGCCTACCAACAGTCAAGTTAGGTCAAATTGGGATGGGATGGGATGGGATGGGATGGGTTGGGTTGGTTTGGGCTTAGTTAGAGAGATATCTTGGTAGCACTGAAAAATAGTCACGAGGAGAAAGTCTATTGATTCAGGAACTGGGACAATATATTTACAGGTGTCTTTTGATGTACGGATTATCACCTTACGGATGATCGATTTACGGATGATAGCTTTATGAAGGATTGATTTACACAAGAATCACTTTTCGGAGGATCAATTTACGAATCTCTTACGTAAATCGTCTCATGGTTAGTAGTTTTATAAAAGATTTACAAACACAGATCTGGGGTACAAACACAGATCACAGATACAAACACAGATCTGGGGTACAAACACAGATCTGGGGTTAAGAGGCAGAACAGCTCCATCATAATCAGATCTGTTGCTCCTTATACAGATTAGTTCTATCAGCTCCAGATTATTTCCTGTAACCCCGCTGTTTTTTATCCTCCCACTGATATTAGTTCATATACCTTCCTTTACTAACACACCACGCAAATTGATAATGAAAACCAGCGTAATAACAAAACATAAATTTACTTGAATTTTACAATGTAACAAAATTAACTGATAATTTCTCTCCACTACTACCTAACTAAATTAACAGAATGACTTTAACCTTAATTAATATCATGACAAAAGAAACATACACCTTTAGGAAGATGATATGTGATTATTTGGTCTATAGTGTGTTAGTATTTTGAGTGTTGCTCTGACTGATCTTGTAGATATAATACTGTATGGTGTACCTGTAGTTCTATGATGGGGAAAAGTAAAGGTGAAATATTAATGGATATATAAGTATTTCTCTTCAAGTTCTCCATCACTTCCTTGCCTAAAAATCTCACGTTCCAGTTTACCATATTTGCATAGAAGAGCTCCAGTAACTTTTCTTTCCTTTTTTACCGTTTTTGACATGTATTAAATAATTAGTCTATTATCTATATCGTTTGTATCAGAGACCAGAACTTTTAAAATTATTCAGGATTTCTATCACTTTGGCGGCAAGAGCTAGTTGATCCTGCTTAGAGAACTGCTTCAGTGTAGCTTCCACCACAATGGCAAGACCAGACCCAATTGTTATTTCTTTGGGTTTAGAGGCAGTGGCAATATTAAGATCATTATCACCCATTTGCTCTTCCTTGTAACTTGATGTTGGTGTCAAGGGTAAGAAAATAGATTGCTCTGAGGCGACGGATATCGATGTTGACGTTTCTTCTGAAGGGGACAGAATGCTCGAACTATCGACGTCGAATGGCCCTTCCCATATGTTTGCATCATCGACACTAGCAGACGTTGTTGTTTCAGGTTCAGGAGATGCCTGGAAAAAAATAATAATTAGGTAAAATTATACATAAGTGGTAATGAGTTACTATACTAATTACTAAACTATGAGTGCCTGTGGACTTATATGGAGGGTAGATCAACATACGAACTGGGTCTCAAGAACAGTGAATGCAAAATACCTTGAAATGGTTTATTCAAGGGGAAAAATTGCAAACATACGAGACTAATTCAAACTCAAATACCGAACGTCCGAATAACAAGAGAATGATACCTGACCTTATCTTCATATCTATAATTGTTGTATATAGAGAGATTTTGTTTGTGTGGCCATATTCTCTTATACCGATACCTTTTGTTCTACAAGGAACGTCCAAGTGGTGGGTAGGTAGTCCAAAGTGTCGTTGAGAAAACACATGTGTTGAAACAGTTCCCACTCGACCACTGGTTTACCCGCAGAGTCACTCTGAGTTTTCTGGAGTTGTCGATACTCCTTCCGAAAGCGTATCTTCAGCGTCTCAAATTTGACCCTGACATCATCTACACAACAAAGAAGAAATTAGAATTGAAGTTAAATAAAGTATCCAGAAACATATTTTAGCCTGATGCAAACTTGAATTTACCTAATCTTATTGTGCTAACTCAACCTAACGTATGGAAGAACACACACTTCCTCTATATCAATCTTTAATGCTAGAGAATTGTAAGATTAAAACTCAAACTGTATCAGAGCAGATTTTAGACATATATCATTAAATACAATCAAGCAATACAAAGGCTTACCTGCCTGTAAACCCAGCAGTTCAGGATATACTGAGATCAGTATTTCAGCCACTACTGAGAATGAGGACACCCTGAAGTTGGTGTTAGTGTAGAGAGCATGGCTGGGGTCCCACAGATTTCGGTGTGTCTGGACTAGTTCTATCAAGGAAATTTCGGACTCCCTGATCCATGTAAAATTGGTGGGAGGGCTCAGGTGGCAGCTGTAGACGTTTGGGGAGCGCATCGACCCAGGCAGCAACAGGACGTAAATGATAGCATTGCGATGTCAGGTCAGCTATTGTTGTAAAATTAGGTTTGCTCAAATATATTTTTCAATTCTCCGTACAAAAAAAAAAGACAATTTATAAATATATGTATAATTATTAAATGATTTTTAAGAATAAATAAAACACCAATTCTCTTGTGACTCGCTCAAATTCGGCGGAGCCTAGAGTGCCATGAAACGATTTAGATGGAACTCCGATCCTGCCAGAATATACCGGCAACTATCCTTTATCTCCAGCCGATATTTAGTTGCCGCATGAAAGTTCCTGTTACACTGTACCACCTTGAGAGCATCGTCCTCTTCTATGGTTCTAGATGAACTCACCCTGTATAGGTAATTTATTCAGCTGAGAGTAATCCCTACCATTCAATGGGTTTAAGAGACACAAGTCATAGTTTCTATAATTGGATGAGTAATGAAATAGACTACTGGGAGCAACACCAAGACCTCAGCACTCACTCTCCCTTACCCCAACCAAGTTTACAACACAGTGCAATAATCCCACACAGTCTATAGCCAATTGGACCCCCCTCCCTCTCCACACACACACACACACGTCAGGATACAGTACACCAACCAGGGTATATATATATCACAGCTGAAAGACAGAGCAGAATAAGAGTTAGTACCAGCCATGAGAGTCGAAGGCCAGCCCCCCTCCCCCCCACACCCCGTACAATGGTGGGTCCGAGGTGGTAGAGGTGTCATTCGGTGGAGTTGAGACATTACGAAGCTTCCACGTGGCAAAGAAAACCTCCAGGAAGGGTTTGCACCGGGGCTACGGACTTAATGAAACCCGTTTGGTAAATTCTTTCTCTCTGATGAAATATTAAAAAAAGGCGGAGTACCTTATTAGTGGCTAAAACTGAACTACGACAGAGAACAGACAGACAGATGGACAACTCCAGGGCTACTGTATATCCCTCCCCCTTACCTGTAGCCATTTCAGTCAGGGTGATAATAAATAAGAATGTACAAAACAGTAATTCAAATCAGCAACTTACACAATCGCCTGGGCACCACAAGAGAGGACCTCCACACTCATCCTAGCATATGACCCTGGTGCCGGCTGCGTACTACACACCACAAAGTTAACTGTAATGGAAGGATTATTTCTTAAGTTTACCAGCAAGTGGGTCAACACACTAGTATGGATTGCTATCGATACAACACAAAAACTAAATATAATTCTGTACTGGACATAATATATAAAATGAATGAGCATGTCTTCCGATATAAAATTAATCAGCATGTCTTCCGATATAAAATTAATCAGCATGTCTTCCGATATAAAATTAATCAGCATGTCTTCCGATATAAAATTAATCAGCATGTCTTCCGATATAAAATTAATTAGCATGTCTTCCAGATAATTAATGTACAAACTGGACATTGACAAAACACTGACCAATGGCAGAACAAGATTGTAAGTTGCTGCAGGGGACACAGAAGTGGTTATTTGGTGCCGGGCAGGAACACTTGGACAGAGCTTCACAGTTAGTACCCGTAGGCCCTCCTCCGGGTACTATGACGCCAGAGTCGGGCGTTGGGGTGACCACGGGTCGGGGGGTGACCACGGGTGGGGGGGTGACCACGGGTGGCCTTGGTGTGGCTATTCCAGGACTTGCTGTGGTCACAAACGTGTGATTAGGGCCACAGTTCTCCGTCGACTCATCAGATCCATCATTACAATCCACGGTTTTGTCACATTTCTTTTTCTGTTATGGGATGACAGTAAACAATGGGTTAGCAAAATAATTCATTACCAAGTACATCTGGCATTACCCTACGTTCACAGCAGAGACAAAAAACAAACAATTCACAAAGATTTAAATCCCTGACATCTGCTGCCCCCCAACAAACCATTAACCTGGGAAGAATTAAAAGAATAACTTGGGCCCCAGACAATGACCCAATTATGCTTCACCTTTCTTGAGCTTTATATGCCCAGGTTTATGTACCCCACTAATACATCATACACGAAATTGGCAGATAAGAAAAACGACAAATATGGGTCACGTTTCTTTCTCCATTTCAATAAATCCCCAAAAAGAAACTGACTTACCGCATCTATGCAGCCTCCATAACTGCACCGGAACTTGGAAGACGAACATGTCTTTGTCCTGCAAGCTTTAACAGTCTCATCTGAACCATCAGCACAGTTGGCATTGCCATTACAAGACCAAAGTCTCCTGATGCAAGCACCATAATCACACTTGAACTCACGTCTCGAACAGCTATAATAAATAAAAGGTAAAGTGAACAGCAGGTAATGAGAAAATGGTCTTCTATCCTGAACTCATCTAATTTAATCAAGATGTTCTTCATAAGGGATTAAACAGGTCCCTATACAGCACAATGAATGGTGTATAACATGACCACAGAGATGCAAAACCTCAGCCAACACCCAGTGCAGTATTTATTCAATTTTGGTAACTCACTGTTTTGCCTTGCATTTTTCTGGCGTCTCATCTGAACTGTCCCAGCAGTCCTTGTGACCATTGCAGAGGAATGCCTGTGATATGCACCCACCATAGTCACACCGGAATGTGGCAGTACCAGCAGCGGCAGCATTGTCGAAAATATCTCCGAAGTTCCCTAAGCCTCCCACATTTAGCTCTGCTTCGCTCCTGAAATAGTGAGGTGAAGATTAGATACAAAAATATTAATGAAAATTATAGTGAATTATAGTGAGTACATAATAATCTCAACAGACAATGTAGATATCAAAATAATGAATAAAAATGTACAGTACTTGTTTATCATCTGAAGACTACAGTATTACAGTAGGGCAAAAAGTTAAATATAAAATTAAGACTGAAGCTGACGAGAGATATTTGCGTTAATAAGTCAGTGGTGGTGGTTTGTAAGTAATCTTTAAGACTGACGTCATCAAAAAGCATTAATTGGTCTTTATTACGTTAGGTGCGAAAGACAAAAACCCAGTACAGTATTCGGACATTTGGGCCATGGACCCCGACCCCGACCCCCAGAAGTTTGGGCCATGTGCTGTATGTTGGGCCATTTCAGTAACAAATAACCACTGTCTGCTTGTTAGAGACCCCCCAAAAGACGATAGAGAAACAGTTACAGTAGTGCTGTCTTCAGAAAACGTATTACTACACGTGATATTATATTCAGTAGTACAATTCTTAATAATCGCAAAAATAAGCAAATTAGTTTTCCGATTATAATAGCCGACAATAATAATGATAGACATTTCTTTATGCTGAATTAGGCTACGTTATGAGATGCAAGAATTAGGACATAGATTTTACATTTCATTGACATATCCACTTTACCTGCACTGCTTGTCAGCGCACAGTTCCTTGGTCTCGTCAGATCCGTCGGAACACTCGATGTAGCCGTCACAAGCTTCTACACAAGTGCCGTCACACGGAACCTGCGTTAACGTGCACGACTGTGTTGCTGTGGAGGACAAAATAATGTGGTGAGCTTTGCTTCCAACAGGCAACAGTATCATGTGAATGTTTGGAATATTCAACGTTTTTCCTCAGATGGATAAGTCGACCATCGGGCAGTGTGTACACGAGAGTAGGGGGGGGGGGGTATGGAAAACAGCGAAGGAGTCCAATTAAAACCGCAGATAAGACTATTTTTTTTGAGGGGGCCGTAACTATAGGTAGTAGGCAGCTACCAAACAAGGAGGTACTACCATCTGGGAACATATTGGAAGCATAATGTGTTGTCTAATGGTAGACCCTGTTGCCATATGGCATCACGAAAATTGTGACCAAGTCCCAGGTTGCTGATCTGACTTTCTGCTTCATTTACACGATTGCAGGGTTTCAATTGTTTTTCTTACTTTGACAACACAACATACATATATTGTTTCTCAATTTTCATCTTTTTTTCATTTTTGTATTTCTTTCTGGTTCTCTATTATTATTATTATTATTATTATTATTATATTTTCGCCCCCCAGGCCCCGATGCGGGTCAGTGACCTGTTCCCGGCTGGGCTTAAAAAAAAAAAAAATTCGGGGTGTGGATTTTCCAACTCTACCGACCAAGATGCCACACAGCTCCAGAGGGTAAATCTTTCAAGGTCACGAGAAGGGAGGTGAGATGGGTTTTTTAGCTTCTCGGGAGGAGGTGAGGGGGGGGGGAGTCTTTGAACCTTTAGGGGGCTGAGAGGGGGATATCAGTGATATCATATCACCTCTTAATTAAACACCCTTACGCTTACTGGAGAGGTAGACTATATTAGGTTAGGTAGAGGTCAGATTAAGTTAGTATTAGGGTGTTTAATTATCAGGTGAGAGAAGCTGGGGGCTATAATCTTCAGGCGATCCAATTTACACCTGCCTGTGAAGCCTTAATTTTTGTTTTTTACGAATATGTGATTCACTACTACAATGGAAATTACAAAATCATTAAAGTCATTTCGTAGGATAAATTGCGTGATAGTTTTGATCCACGGATGATACAGTACATTACATAAATAAGATGATACAGTATAGTAGAACATTAAGTGTGAAAATAGTTGATACGTTGAATTGTGGGGTTAATGTGTAGTCGTGTGGTGCTGGGGTGGCGGTGTGTTGAAACTGACAAGATAACAGGCACAGCGCGGGTATGCTTGTCCCTGTCGGGTACATAGCTGCCGTAGAGGTGGAACCAAATTAGTCCATATTTTTTCTCCTAACTTGAGATTTAAAAACATCCATGACCTAGAGAATGACATTACTACTGCTTCATGAGTCTATATTAAGTGTGTAACTAGAAGAGTTCTCTTATTTCAGTTACGATAGTGTAGTTAATTACGAAACGCGATGAGAATCCGCATCTAGAGTTGTGTTGGTGATATTCTCTTGCTTTATATAGTTCTCTTCTATTAATAAATGCGATATACAAAACAGTAGGAAAATACAAGTAACGCAGGATATACTTTACATAAGAGAAACCAGAGCGGAAGCAGTAACATTACGCAGGAAGAACAGTGCGACTATTTTTTGTTTTGTTATTCAGGAAGAAACGTTTTCGTTATCCATTTATAAAATATTGTGTGGTTAATAGATGGAAATACTAAAAATCTGATTATCTTTTTCCTTAATTCAAACAATCTTAAAGTAGTTGAGTAGTTACCCAAAAGTATGTTTTTTATTTGAATCACTGTACCTGTAATCTTTTGGTTTTTTTAGCTGACGGACGGTAGGTTATAAGTCTCGTCCCAATTGCAATTTATTGGCTCACACAATATTCGCTTAATATTGACAAATCACAAATAAATCCATATAAAACTTAAGGATACTCGATTATGGCTCAATTTAATGCTGAAGTTAATGTATGTAAAGATATAACTGCTTGAAAATATTAACTTTCAAGATATGGGTGGAAAACTGACCAAGAATGGCGGTATCGCCATTTTCTCCCCAGGAATGTGGGTTTTCGTTGTACAGTTGCCTACATAAATTTCGAAACACATCATGTTAGCCCAAGGCAGTATCTGGCAACAGGTCAGATTTATATGCGAAATTTCCTATAAAACCTCTGGTATTAATGACACAATTCATCTAATTATTAGTTTGCAACAATTACTCAGTATACACCAATCACAGCCCACGTGACAAACGGTTGTTTATTCGCTAAAAGAATAATACAGTACGTACTTATAGAGGCAGTTGCCAGTTGCCGCCATGGGCTAACATGATTTGTATAGGTAACTGTACGTCTGCCAGATCAGCAAAGTTCAAAGAGCACTAGACCTCATCAGTGAAGAATGTATGAGTCTCGGGCTCAAGATATCAATCCCAAAATCGAAAGCCATGAGGATTGGACACCATGAGCCGGTGACACAACTGCAAATACAAGGTATTGCCCTACAATGGGTCAATGTATACAAATACCTGGGCATCTGGATTGACAAAGGCCTCAAATTTGACAAAGAGATAAACTATCTAAGAGACCGAATAGGCAAGAGATTCAACATGATGAGAGCCATTACAGGATCCAAGAAAACATGGCTATTGTGCGCAGCTGACGCTGTAAATCGACTGGAATTGAAAGACACAATCATCATTAAAGGACCTGATACAATGAGTCCAGACTAGAGCACCCCAGCACCATGGGAGTCCCCGCCAGCAGTCTTCAACATTCTACAAACTGGGACAAGAAAGGCCGACTCTAACTCATATGAGCTCCGACAGGTAGCAGAGAGAAACATGAAGGCTCTATCACCACGCAATAGTACAGTGTATTACACAGACGGTTCAGTAGAGCCTACCAGTACAAAGGCAGGGGCAGCCTTCACCATAGAAGGAGGTAACACGTCCCTTTGGAAAACCTCAGATGGATGCTCCACTTTGCAAGTTGAGCTAGCTGCCATACTTGGAGCCCTAAGACACGCTTCCATAAACAGTCAACAAGGCGTTGTAATACACACTGACTCATGATGTGCTATTGAAGCACTACAATGCAGGGACCCTGGAGACAACATTCATCTCATAACATCCGTTGTTGGCCTACTGCAAGGGTTAAGACAAGACCGGCTAGTTATCATTAACTGGGTGCCCAATCATATCGGAATCCCAGGGAATGAACGAGTTGATGCTGCTGCCAAGGCTGCGTTAGAACAGCGAAACATTGAGATGAACATCCCGCCCAGTCAGGAGCAGATAAAGAAGACCACAATAACACAAACTGCCCAGTGGAAAGTAGACAAACATAGAAGATTAACACCAGTATCACGATCGGCCAGGTGGTACTATCAGGTCACGAATTATGAGACCACCACCACTCATGAAGGATATAACAAGAAGGGAAGAAGCCATCTTCCACCGATTGAGACTAGGATACCCATGCATATGGGAAATCATTGTACAAGTACCATCAGAGCAGCACATGTGCAAGATCTGCGACAATGGAGCAGAAAACTCACTGCAGCACTACCTCATAAAGTGCCCTGGAACACAATTAGCTAGGAGAAACATACAACCCCCTATCACAGCAGAGAAGGTTGCCAAAATGCTAACCACCAACCACTCTCAAAAAATTCTACAGTTTCTTAACGAGCATCCACCCCCACGCTAGTGGTGGAGATGTACAGTTAACTAAAAAGATGCTGGTGTTTTACCCCAGCAGTGGGTGGACCAGGATTTTAGCTTCAGGTCCGCGTAGGTAATATTCCTACAAATCCTTAAAAAAAAAAAAAATCGTTCTGTCCGCACTGGACTACTCTACAACCCCAGCGACCTACGCAACCACGGCAGGCAGAGTATTCCATGAATACACTGCTGTGCGCCATGCTGCCGTGGACAACTCAGCGGCCACACTATCACTTAGCTCCGGTCTCGTCAACCGGATGAACGCTCCTCAGACGAGCAACACCTCACAAGACATGAGGGGCCTGCTACAGTCTCTACACCGCAGGATGGACACCCTCGAGCAGCTCTGCTCCTCCAAGCCTGCTGCTGTTCCTGTTCCTGCCCCACGCACTGTGTCCTACCAACCCCGACGTCTTCGTCCTGCCTTGGACGCCGCTGCCAGCTCCCAGCACAGTGCACCTACCCTCTGCTGGTACCATCAACGCTTCGGTGCTAACCCTAGACGTTGTGAGGCTCCCTGCAACTACTCGGGAAACGGCATCGACGGGGATTGGTAGACGCCACAACCTCCGTCACTTCAGGCGTCTCACTGCTGCATATCACCGACCGCATCTCCGGCAGGAAATTCCTCGTTGACACAGGGGCATCGGTCAGCATCATCCCTCCCTCACCACGAGACACATCAAAGCAACCCTCATATGACCTGTTTGCCGCCAACGGTACCCCCATCGCCGCCTACGGCGCACACATCCTCGCCTTAGACCTTGGTCTTCCCAAGACTCTGCGCTGGTCCTTCCTGGTGGCAGACGTTTCTCAACCCATCCTTGGCTTCGATTTCCTCACTTTCCACAAGCTCGTCGTTGACCCAAGCAACCTCTGCCTCATCCATGAGCCTACATCACACACGATCCGGGGTACACGTGGAACGGTCACAAACATCATCACCTGCCTCTCGCAATCCAACGAGTTCCCCTATTTGCTCGAGGAGTTCGATGAACTTTTCTTACCCCGAGTCTCTCCACCACCACCTACGTCGGGAATCTTCCACCACATTGAGAAACGTTATTGTGGGTTTCCTTTCTCACCTCCATCCTGAGTGAGAGATCTCCTCTATGTACATGCATATGTGAACCAAACAAAAAGAAATTTGACTACTGGCCACATAATGTATACTACACCTAACGCTGGTGGCATTTAAACTGAAGGATCCCACAGGAAATAAGTATTTCTTTGATTAAACTTGATGTGATGTCAAGGAGGAGGAGCAGAGCAGATATCATCTAATATACTATAGGACTAGCTGTCTGTCTGTCTGTTCTGGGCAGCCGAAACGGCACAATCGTTTTTCATCAAACTTGGTGGAAAAATCGCAAAAAATTCGTACAGTGGAACAAACCTGGTCCCATGTCGATGGTTTCTTTAGGAAGGCATTAATTAACCATTTTATTTACAATGGAAAACGATGCAAGTCTACGGACTTGGCGCACCCTAATTACCAAGCAAGTCTACGAACTTGGCGCACCCTCATTCGCTGTACCCTAGCCAAGGGCGAGCGTTCAAACTTTCACTGGGCACTAAGGTGCCCACGATCACTTGTGTAGAACTATAACATCAGCAACTATTAATGTCACAACAATAAGACGCATTAGTCCTTCACTCATAATTTACATTATGCCCCAAAATATCAACTTCAAATGCACAGTATACGTCAATTGTTATCTTCATAGTAAATGTAACCGAGTCTATAGAAAATCCTGCCTCGTACAATTTTCGATGATAAAAACTTTTCAGATAATACCACATATAATATAATGATTAAGCTTAAGCATTCATGTATAATGTATTACTTTAGTGACGAAAAAAATATCCATGTATATATGTGCAACCAAGTAAGAAGATTAATTATTGATACCCACGAGACAAACTGATATTTTTTTCTTCATTAAACCAATTTATTATCGTTGGTCATAAATTTATGCCTGAGATGACACATTTATAGAAACTCAACTCGGCATAAAACACATATTACAAAAGCAGGTGTGTCATAATAGTCTATTCGAAAAGTAAACTTAAAACAATAAAAATTTTCTACTATACACTGTTGGCAATTACTAAGACATGCACGGGCTCTTGAATGCAGTGATGGTCGTATTTTCTTCCAATATAAATATGTAATGTTGCAACTTTTATCTGTAAATTTCCAGCAATAATTACGTCATCTAAAAAAATGGGGATATAGACTTGAGTAAGAGGGAAGGGGGCAACGAGAACCAGTCATGTAAGTTTTTTTGACTCTTGCACGTGGAAAAACCAGTCGAGGGTTTGTAAGATTCAGTGGAGGTTAGCCTCACCTCTCACAGCACTGTTGGCCGGATGCAAGTTGTTTTCATTCAGATATCAAGACGACTAAAAAAAACATTCTAGTGACCAAAACATCTACCATAGTCAGTAACTTATTTCAGAAGTTCAATTATGGTAAGAGCTGGGGGGTTATTGTTATTATTTGTTCACAGGAGGCATCATCAAGGTGTGTCTGGATTCTCTGGAACAAAAAATGTCACGCTAGAATGGGGAGACTTTAAATGTTCATAATTGACGTAACAGTAATGATTTTTGGTTCCTTATATTCACACACACACAGTAGCACACTCCTCCATTGAAGCTGTCACCAAGTTAGCTACGTCAGGTGAGCGCACAGTGGAAAAATTAACTTCCCACTTCCCGGAAATGTTTGCGGCTCTTTCTGCGGGATTCCCCAACACGTACACTCCACCAATATGTATTTCGTGACACTTGTCGGCTCATTTCTTAATCCTGGTTAACACAAACGCCAAAAAATCAGCTATACCGAAACTCACAGCTGTGTACGAAACTATATAAACACTGAGATTTGGGTATTTTTAGTTACTAGAGTATAATGAGAGCATATTTGAGGATGATCCATTTCTGTCACTGGGGATGCTTTTTGACCGTTGATATGGCTGGATATTAAAAAGGTCAACATTCCCAAACTATCTATGCTAAGTTTGCACAAGATGCGGGTTGTCACATGAGTTTGATAGCCTAATCTAACCTAATTTAATCATTTATAATAAACTAAGGAATCGGACTTCTCAATACAGTAGTGGATACCGTAAACCCTCTTCCTACCGGACTTCTCAATAGCGGATATTCTCAATAGCAGAATCCTCCCAATAATGGACGGAGGTTGCGAGAATTAGTCAGGTATTGGAGATAATTTCACGGTGAAAGATTGTATTTTTTTATGGCATACCAACCCATGTTTTTTCTTAATATGTCAATATATTAACAGTCTTCAGTATTCTCACCTTGATCATTAACTATATTTCCTAAAACTCATCCAATTTATTTAACCTTTTCATTACTGGACTTCACATATAATATTTTATTTGGCTAACGGCAGACGATGTTTTTCAGCACAAGGGATGGAGCATTAAAGATCTACTAGGCTAGCAATTCATTACGTAAATTTGGGTACTCATGGTTTTGGGATTTTCCAGAATTCCGGTTATGCTCTCATTAATTAAAGAGTAACCCACGAAAATACCACACATGTGCAAGGTGTTTAGAAAGTCCCTTGAAGTTTGAGGTTACATAGATCAAGGAGGAAGTTACACATACTGTACGTAGAAACCACCAGTATGTGCGCCACCATAACTATTCTTCACTTTCCTGTAGTTTTAATGTATACAAGATCACGACCGGGCGCCTGTAATTGTGTGGGTCTGTTATGGTGGTAATTCATCCTAAAAGTTGCAGTCTGTGTCTCATTGCAATACAGTATTTCCTTCTTTATTGTGTGTATGTGGGACTGATAAAGGCCTTTTAACCTCTTGGATATCTGCCATGATGCATGACTTGTTGATAACCAATCCCAGCCATCAATTGCTGAATTCCTTTGCGTGTGCTACCCATCAAGAAGTATTATGAGTTCATGTAATCGTGCAACATAGTCCCCGAAACCTTTAATGAAGCGTATCAATCAAGTAACATAGAGAAAAGCATCAAAATTGAGGAAATAAACATACACGCCCGCCAGCTCTGTGATGTGTTTTTTATCGTACCTGCTGGCTGAAGGAACATGAAGAGGAGTGTGGCTAGAGTGATGAATTCCAGCATCTTGTGTTCTTCCATAGGGGAGTATTACTCGACTCACCACGAATACGCGCCAGCTTTAAGGACACCTAGCAGGCAGTCCAATCCTACCACCACAGCTCTGCCACCGTCACTGGTTAAACTTCAGGATACATTGAGAAGGGAATCCCCACTACCACACTCGGGCAGTTGCCAGTTGTGCAGCGTTTGTCAATGGAATAAGACAATGTAAAATCTTCTCTGTGATTAATTGTAATTACTGCGGATTTAGGGAAAATCATAATCCATAGCAATAGTAATTTACAGATATAATAGATTCCTTATTATTATTGTACTTTACTTGGATATCGTTGGACGCATTGGCAAGTCGTGACAAAAAGAGGAGGTGCTGCACGAAATTAAATGAGAAACACCACCAAAACATACATGTTAAATGCTCTTCACCTGCCACATTAGATGATAATTGTTTATAACTATAATATTCAGTGGCAGAGAGTAGAAAGGGGGGGGGGGGCCTTAAAGAATGGGCAGGAGTTTTACATGCCACGGAGAGTGCCCCCCCCCTCCCCTCACTGTATATCGCTTCACCTTCTTACGTAAAAGTTAAATGTACTTTGGTCAGTGTCAAGTTGTTTTAGCCAGTTAAATGTACTTTGGTCAGTGTCAAGTTGTTTTAGCCAACGAGTTTTAGTGTGTGTCGTCGCTAAAATACTGTACAACAATCGCTGCTCAGACTACCTTAAAGAAAATGGAGGTGGGGTGATATTCTGTGACTCTCAAAGTGCTTTGAAATCAATGAACAGCCCGTCAGGTTCTATGTCTGAAGTTGTATGTGATATTAAAAGAAATGTGATAACTGCCAATGAGAACAACTCTCGTATCGAATTTGTGTGGATTCCGTCCCATGTTGGAATTAGGAATCATGACTGTGCTGATAGACTCGCCAATGAGGCATGTAAGAAATAAAATGTTGACGGTGACCTTGGCCTGTCCAATGTTGTACTTAAAAACATTCAAGTCAGAATCATGAACTCTGATCTAGAAGAACTGAGAAATGGAGAGAGACCTGGCAGTTGTAGCATTAGTAAATATGAAAAATTTTGTAACAAGAGGTACCGGTATGGCCAGCATAAGGACAGAACCAGACAATGTGATGTAGTCGTGGCCAGAATTAGGCTAGGATACGGACACATCTGCCAAGTTAGTAACGCTGTACCCATACCGGAACACTCAGCATGTAAACTTTGTGATAAACCTTTAAAGCATACACTTGAACACTATATTATTGAATGTGACACTGTCAGAGACTTCAGGCTTCAGAGCACAGTAAAACTACTTTTCTTTACGTTCCTGGGAAGTGAGGGTCCCTAAACAGCGTGCCAAGGAAGCGAGGGGGGGTCTTTATTAGTATAGCAGAAAAAGTGTGCAAAGTGAGCGTATGGGATAGTTTCTGTAACTATGATGTTATTTTTGGACGTTAAATCAACCACTAAGTTCATTATTACATCTTTAGTTTTGAGAAGAGTGTGTGGTAAAACACTTGAGAATCTGTACCCCATCTTAATGCAGCTTCTTCCCATAGACCTAAGACCATAATTTGCTTCCATTCTTTTGTAAATCTCTGAAATCCGTAGAAATTTATTTAATATCCCAATGTTTATAGAAATTATCACCAATTCACCACATCTGACGTTCTGTAATATCCGGGTGTCGGAGAAGGACGGTGACCCTTGTAGATGATGCTCAACAACTAGGATCTACAACAGAACGTATTGGGTTAATTTAATAGTAAATATATTTCTTTGGAGGCGAAACTTCCGCTGATAACCTTCGTTCTCACTGTTGTTTTAATACCACGAAACATTAATACAGAGACGACAGTATTGTATGTGTTTGTCTCGCGTTGGACAGCCTAGCTATCGCATCCGCTGTGATGTGAAATGATGAATATAATTTTACGCGCGCCTCCTCTAGTGGTGTAACATGGTGCAAAACATAAAACGTTATAACTGACATTAATACCGAGAGAGAGGGAATATATTTAGTGATAAGATATCTTACGAGCATTTCCTACTTAAGCTTGTATAAAGGAAAATAAATTCTACAACCACAATGTAACTTTTCTTTTATTAAACTACATCTCCATCGAATTACTAGTTACTGTATTATTAAATACATAAAAACTCAGGAGGAAGCAAACGTGATTGAAGGATAGTGGTGGTTGGCACTGCAGTGACTCTCCGGGCAGATAGATAGATAGATAGATAGAACTGTATAGGTTAAAATCCCCGATGAAAATAAGCTTCTAACTACTTTCTTGGACTATTCTTGGTTAAATCGATTTACTTTTTACCATTGTTCTTGTATTCCTACAACTATATACTGTACAGTCGATCAAAAAACTATCCTTACAAAATTGTGTTAAGCAATATGACACACCGAAATTACGTCTTGAACCAATGTGAATTCGAATGGAGATTTCACTGAATAACATTCTGCCTATTTCTATCTCTTGATTCAGACAAAGTGACTGAGGTTGCTAGAAGCCCCCAGGCGAGGCAGCAGGAAGCATAGCCCCAGGTGCGCTGGCTACACACACTTTCTTGAGACATTTGATGAACTCGGTGGTCTTGTAGGAGGCTGGTTCAGGGCAGGTGGTGGCGGCGGTAACAACAGCGGCAGCGAGGGAGGGAGGCGTCAAGAGAGAGACTTGCGATACTACGGCTCCACGGTCAAGGCTTCCATCCTCACCCAGCTGACCCAGGGATCACACATGTATATAAATTCTCGGTTACATGGTTAAAAAGAAGGAATTTTACAGTAATTTTGAGATCACCAGAAGATTCACTCCCCAGTTTATTTCACTTCAATAATAACCTAACCTAATATAACCGATCGGCAAGAGAGCTGACAAGTGGCGAAGAGGATAAATTATCAGACTCACAAATACAAATGAAGATCGTAATAGAGAACAGACCGACTGGCTAGTAAGCTGATCACCTGCTGCCATATGGCATCACAAAAATTTTGACCAAGTCCCAGGTTACTGAGCTGACTTTCTGCCTCATTTACACACAATTGCAGGGTCTCAATTGTTTCTCTTACTAGTGACAACACAACATACATAATGTATAATTTCTCACTCTTGATTTATTTATTTTTATTTTTGCATTATTTATGGTTATTATTTTTATTATGATTACTATTATTTTATTTATTGTAATTTTTATTAATTTTTATTATTATTATTATTATTATTATTATTATTATTATTATTATTATTATTATTATTATTATTATTATTATTATTATTATTATTATTATTATTATTATTATTATTATTATATTTTCGTCCCCCCCCAGGCCCTGATGTAGGTCAGTAACCTGTGCCTGGGTGGGCTAATCCCCGTAAAAAAAAGACAAAATGCGGTGTTGTTATCGTGAAGGATACTCACCATGCCGGTAGCGTTGAGGACACACTGTCTGATGGCTAGGTTAGCTACGGGATTTGAGGTGGGTTTCTTCCCTAGGCTACCGACTAAGCCTGTCACCAAAGCTTTACCTGTGGAATAGTGACTGTGATAGACGTGTACAAAATCGCCATATAGACAATACAGTTATACAGGTATACAAACATTGTTAAGTTATAATAAAACCCGAAAAGTCACTAAAAAACACTTAATCATAATATAACTCACCTATACTAGCATAATAGTCGGGTTTTATCGGCACGCTGGTTATGTTGACACAACCCATGATGACGTCAGGAGTACCGAGCAGTGTTGCCAACAGACCGTCTAGAGGCGCACACTGGCTTTTCTTCATCAGACATAAAGGCACTGGGTCCGTCTTGGCACACATTGACGCTGAAACAATAATGTATATTGCCCATTACCGCAGCTATATATATTATATCTATATCTACTGTTAGCTATATCTACCGCATGTTAGCTATATCCATGTCTACTGTTAGCTATAGTACAGTTTAATAATTTTATTGTACTTACTGTCCACTTTGGTAGATCCAGTGGCAGTTGTCCCAGCAGCAGCAGAGGCGACAAGAATAGCGAACAGTGTCAGCCAGCAAGGACGCTTCGAGTCAAGGTAATTCATGATAGTGTTTGTTGTAAATACCTGTAAACATTGAGCTTGGTGTTAGTGAATTGGGATGGAGAGTTTTATGATATAATGATGGTATTAGGCGGAGTGAGTGAGTGAGGAGGGTTACTGAGACTGAAGCGAGAGTGAGACGGTTGGGGGCGTGAGTTGATGAGGGATGGGACATGATAGTGTGGGGAGGAGAGCTGTGGTAATGATTATTGTAAGGTTGGAGAAGCAAAGAAAGGGTAGTGAATTAAGTGGAGAGATGATATTTTTTTTTTTTTTTTTGGTGGAGGCGGGGTAGAGGGTGTGGGGTATGAGATTGTTTGGTTCACACTCAGGATTGGATGGAGAAAGGAAACTCACGATGTGCTCTCTATATACATGTTGTATTGGATGTACAATGCAGCTTGGTGCTGGGAAGGCAGCATGGTTACAAGCGTGATGTGGAGAGCTGGTTGGTGAGGCAGGCATGGTTACAAGCGTGATGTAGAGAGAGCTGGTTGGTGAGGACGCTCAGAGAAGGACAGCTTGTGGGTCGCCATGCTCGCCAGCGGGAGAGAGGACCGCCAGGCAGGCGGAGGAGGGAGGGCCGCCAGGCAGCGGCAGAGGAGGAGGTGTTGCTGGCTGTGGCTGTAGGTAGAGAGAGAGATCACCACGAGGTCAGGTCTTAAATAGCGGGGGTAGGCGTGGCTTAGCAGTTGACCCCCGCTCCGTGGTGTATGGCGGCGCTGGTTGACCTAGACCACGAGGCATACACTGGGGAATTGGTGAGGTCGGCTAGACAGCGACAAACAGCGTTTGTAGGGGAGAATTCCACTACAATACTCCCCCTTCCCTCCAGGCTGTGTAGGAGACTTGTTGTCTGCAGGGTTGCATAGCACATGTGAGGCAGAACGGGCGGTGCGTGCCTCATGTGAGACAACGGCGATGGCGTGATGAGCCGGTCGCTGGGGACAACTGTCTAGATACACAATATCTGTGGGAGTAGAGAGGGAGAATAAGGGTGTGTGGAGGCGATGAATGTTGTGCTTCCCTCACGGCAGGTACAGAGTCGTCAGATGCGCCTGCTGGGGTGTGTGGGCCTGGGTCAGGAGCAGGGGCTGCGTCAGCAGAAGCGGATGAGGGCTCGTGACAGCAGCTGGGTCCACGACAGCAGCAGGGTGCAGGACATTAGCAGGGAGTACCTGAGGGAGAAAAGAGGGGTGTGTGGGTCCGCACTCAGGAACAGAGGCCGCATCAGGGGCGGCAGGGGTTACTGCTGGGCCGGGGTCGGCGTCTGAGGCAGGACGGGTGTGCTGGGGTCGGTAGGACGTGGTGCTTGGGGCAGGAAGAGGAGCTGGTCTCTGCTTAGAGTAGCAGAGCTGCTCTAGGGTGTCTAACCTGCGGTGTAGAGACAGTAGCTGTAGAGCCGATGATAGCTGCTTCTGTGTGGATAAGCCAGTCTTCCATGTTGCTTGAAGACTGGGAGCGTGATCAGTTTCTCCTCCATCCTGTGTGAGTGCGAATCTCCGGGAGTCACCATTTGTGGGGTATGAGATTGTTTGGTTCACACTCAGGATTGGATGGAGAAAGGAAACTCACGATGTGCTCTCTATATACATGTTGTATTGGATGTACAATGCAGCTTGGTGCTGGGAAGGCAGCATGGTTACAAGCGTGATGTAGAGAGAGCTGGTTGGTGAGGACGCTCAGAGAAGGACAGCTTGTGGGTCGCCATGCTCGCCAGCGGGAGAGAGGACCGCCAGGCAGGCGGAGGAGGGAGGGCCGCCAGGCAGCGGCAGAGGAGGAGGTGTTGCTGGCTGTGGCTGTAGGTAGAGAGAGAGATCACCACGAGGTCAGGTCTTAAATAGCGGGGGTAGGCGTGGCTTAGCAGTTGACCCCCGCTCCGTGGTGTATGGCGGCGCTGGTTGACCTAGACCACGAGGCATACACTGGGGAATTGGTGGGGTCGGCTAGGCAGCGACAAACAGCGTTTGTAGGGGAGAATTCCACTACAAGGGTCTTTGTGGCGGCATCGAGTTAATTATTAAGGCGCCCAGCTTGACCAAAACTGGCGCAGGTTGAGATACATTCTGGAGTCAGTACATGCCCGGTACTGTATTTGCTAACAATAACTTGTCATGTCATACTAGGACTTTTTACTTCAACTCTGATTTTCTGTCGTTTATTTCCGCGAATTGTCGGCTTACCTAGTAGAACATATCAGTCAGACGAAACGTTACTGTACGTATCGTTTCCGCTTGACTGACGCGCCAATCTCCATCGTCAAGTCAAGATCCGCGCACTAGATAATGAGGATAGTTATATAAAATAGAATATCGACCCAAGTACAATAACTATTTTATGCGTGTGACGGCACTAAGAAAAATTAAAATCAATAAGAAATACTTTTTTTTCTGTGTAGCATATTACCCAATCACAGACTAACAGTGGCAAGCTTTGATGATTTACTGTTTTTGTTTTTCAAGTTAACTTATCGGGGCCGCTCATACGGGAGAATTACACGTCCCGGCAGATCTTTCCGGGGCAACATGACAGGACGATGAAATACGAGACAATCTCGTATAATTATACAGGACGCCTAGCAAACTTATCTCAAATATTTAAGAAGAAAATATTACGTATGAACATTTTAAAGCTAACTACGGTATATAAAATTATATGTATTATATTTTTAGCCACAACCTCTTAACTTTTCGTTCTCTCGTCGTCACAATCATTTACTGTACTTATCGTTACTAATTTAATTCATCACCATCGGTTGCTCAAACGTGTCAAATCATTTAATCAACTTCCAGTCATCACTTAAATGCAAAATATGTTTTTTTCTAAACTTCGCATCTTGTCACCATTTTTATTATCTCACCACTAGTTTAGTTTCACTATTTAAAATGACTATAGATTAATTACTGGAGACGTTTTCTACTGCTGTTAAAATCTGTCTAGTCTTTTTCTCACACTTGATAACGATGACCTCGACGTTTCCTTACCCGAGAGACGCTACACCGTCACAACCTACCACGAGTGTGTGAGGAAGTGCACCAACGACCCCGCGCCAGATTAACTAGTATAGTACGGCCATAATAAACAACAACAACAAAAGTGTCTTGACTAACCACGAATACCACTGAGATTCTCAGCCAATAGGACCTGTTTCTGCCAGTTCCTAGCCAATAGAAGAGATATCTAAAAGCCTATTCAGCAGCTTAGCTTAGGGACAATGACGCCAGAAACACGAAGTTGTGCTTAATGCGACACGTGTTATCCCGTAATGCGACACATGTTATCCTGGGTGATACTTCCTAAAAACAAATCTCCATGGACAGTGTGTGAGCCTCGCCACCTTGTCCAGATCACGGCCTGGGGTGTGTCAGAGCAGGCATGTTGTACCAGGATTAAGCAGAGTCGGAAGAACTGCTGCCCTGCACACGACAAGAGATAAATTTTCTGAGCGAGTTCATCTGATCAGTTTATTTACTACACTGAGGACATGATCGCAGTTCTAAACAAGCATGGGCAGGTTTTATGCGTTTATACAGTATTTATTTTAAGTTTTTCTAAAAGTAATTAGGAAAGTCTTGTTATATGTATTTGGATGATTTGTCGCTTACCGGGGTAGATTGAACTAACAAGCTGCACTGCAATCAAGTTTGTGGTGCAGCATTATAAATATGTGCACTAACGAGGAGTAAATGATAGTATACCCCGTATATCCTCTTTGAAGTGTCATCAATGTTAAAGAGTTATCTCCAGAAAATACCTTGATTGCAGTTAATGAAGTTTCTTTGACCCGTTTGGACATGTGATACTCCTCCTTACTGTTGGTAAAAACTACAGTAGGTGCTTCTTTTTGCATTTCTTGATGTTGAATCTTAACAGCCATTCCTTTGACCACTCCTGAAGCCGACAGAAATCTTCCTGTAGCACTTCACAATCCATTTCATACAGTGCTTAATTTCCCCGAAAATTTTTTAAGGAAACTCACTTGATTACAAAAAAAAATTCTTGATATGTAGCCATAATAGTTTTTAACACAGGAAGGAAAACACAAATAGAAATCATTATATTCTTTATATACAACATACAGAGCTAACACGGTTACATATTTTAACACCAATTGGCACCAAGTATGACCCCTAGATGTACAGTATTTAAAGCATACAAATTCTGTTACTGTTTACAGTAACACACCTCTATTGTGATTATTCAGGACTAACTTCTTTAGCAGTTGATGATGTTTTAAATCTAATTCTTCACATGTCATGTTCCCTGTAGAAAATATATTGATCATTGCACATCAGTATTTAGTTTCACATATATATATATATATATATATATATATATATATATATATATATATATATATATATATATATATATATATATATATATATATATATATATATATATATATATATATATATATATATACTTATTTTTTGTGAAGGAATGAGATCTCCCACAAGAAAACTATTTATAAAATGTCACATGTGTAATGCAGAATGGGAAAATGAAGCTTAAATAGCACTAACCATATACAGTACAGTAAAGAATTTAGATGCATACAACACATTCTTATCTTAAATGATTTTCAACTCAAGATGTATCTCATGCACTTCCTGCTGAATTATGAAATACAGTACAGTACTGAATATGAGAACTTTCTAAAGAGCCGAGTATAGCAGCAGGTTTCAAATTTATGTCCGACAACATATTTGATGATTTTAATCACCGACTTCCATTGCATTTGATACTTCTGTGCTGGTACAACTGACCACCCATGCCACATAGACCAAAAATATAAAACAGTTGTAAGTACAGTTTATACATTACAAAATTTTAATAATTAAATGCCCTGTATGTACTTTTTACAAGTGCAGTGGTGGCATGTTATACGCTTATTTTCTTTGTAAAATAATTACACCATAGTTGCTGAAATGGGAAGTTTTACATAAACATACCTAACATTTATAAGAATGGCAAGTACAGTGTTGATCAAGGCACCTAAGCTAAGGCACATCACTATTCTCCACATTCTTCTAGTGAACAGGAAATGTGTTTGTTTAATACACATTTCAAACTTTTTGGCTGGCAAGATTTTAAGGCACTTACATTATATCTGCAGGTAGAATGTTAATTAGGAACTTCCAAATGGTTGACTATTCTATGATGTTCAAGTGCAGTAATAATTTTATCCATCTCGTACAGTACTGTGCTTTGTACTAGATGATTTTCATATACAACAGCATATGAAATCACAGACTGATTTTCAGGAACTTTGCTTATACACAACCTTCACATATTCAGGCAACCATTAACTAACTTGCCTCCTACAGTCCAAGCTGAATCTTGTATTTTTCCTGTGTTTAAAATTATAAAAAGTATACTTCAATGATTTCGTTTACTACACAGTATAAAAAAATTTAATCTCCATCTAGTTCAGGATTGGTAATTCCTGGTCTCATAAAACTGTTGATTTTGTGCCCAGTGCACTTTTGTCTTGATAAAATTACCTAAGTATTGATTATGGACAGTGGCCATACCATGTTAAAAAACAGCTTCTCATCCAATCTTTCTGTAATACCTTTTGGGTTTTCAACCTTAAAACTATATTAAAAGATTAAATTAATTTATTAGCTTTTACCTGTATTCTTGAAGCTAATGCCATTCAGTAAATATTTTATCATCTTCAGTGTAATACTAGACAAAATAGGACTCTTGGAGTACTTATAATATCACCTTAGAAACTAAATTGATACATTATTAGCCAACAGAAGTCTGAAATGAAAGAGGGAAAGGTGCCAGATGACTGTACAGTACACAGGTCAGTAATAGCATCATGGTACTTGTGGGAAGGGAGGTTATAGGAACTACTGTCCTCTAGAATTATTTTGTCAATCATAAGACACTGATGAGTTGCAAATGTGATGGCGACAAAAATTACAGTCATACAATAAATGAGGAAGCTACTGTAGTTCTCTTTGGTTAATATCCTGTAGGTACACTTTGATATGCTGATTGAGGATATAGTGTAAAAAGTTGTAATATGGTTCATTAATGTTTCTTGACCTACGTTTACCCAGTCTTCAAGAACAATCACCTAGCAACACCTGACTTATAAATATTTTGCCCTTGGAGTCCTGATCAGCTTCAATAGTATATACTGTAGTACCACTTTTCTGAACAAAATCGAAATGAACAAAAATTTCAACCCACCAACAAAAAGTTATGGTCTTCACAGATTTTTTGCCATGTTCATTACTCAGACTAAAGGTGTGAAGATACATCAAACATACATGTAGTAGTATAAGGAATGAACAAATAACATATATAGTATGTGTTTAAGTTATATATGTCATTTCACTTGGATATAAAACTATTGAATGAATGTACAGTACAGTACTTAGTTTATGAAAATTACTTCTCTTCTAAGCATAAAAAAAAAAAAATATCCTAATGACTGCAAAATTCTGATAATACTTAAAAAAACATAATGCTTAAACAGAACCAGTATACCTGACTGAAATAGTATGCATGGTATATACAGCAGTAAAGAATGGCACTAAAACCTTGGAATGGAAACTTACTGCAGTACAGTACGGTATTGTGAAAGTGACAGCACTCAAAGGTGTTTTAGTATAGGTAACAATATTCTCTAAGGAATGAGTACTGTATTATCACAAGTACTGTACATTATATTATTCGAGATGACTTAGACCAATGGTTCTTAACCTTTTTAGGGTCATGCCCCCTATAGCAGTTGGTCCTTATCTCCATGCCCCCCTCCTTCCTTCATATAAAATTTTAAAACCATGATCATAAACACCACCACCACCACATGGCCATAAACATCACTCAAAGTAGACAAAGCGTGATTTTGAGTTGGCAAATTTCATTCTCGTTATTAAAACGAAACAATTAGCATTCTTTTCAATTGATATAAGTAATTATCATTATTGTTTCGTTCATAAAAAGTCTACCCTACATCATAACTCAATTGAAGAAAGAAATGCGCGAGTGTGAGAGGTAGAAAATTGTCACGGACGGACGTCGCGGGCGACTGGCACTGGAAATCGTCTCGGTCAGTGTTGACAATTTTTCAAATGTGAATTATCGTACTGGAGCCTCAAAACTATCGTTTCATCATCAAATTATCGTACACTTACCGACATTATTACTACCTTAATCAATCACTTTTAGTGGAATTTTACATTTTGATTGACGTAGTTATCATTTACATTTTGAAGTATCTGTGGGGAACGAGAACCCCTCCACCCCCCCTACGAAAATCCAAATAAGGTCATACACACACCTGTTAAGGCCATTCCTTATTTTTGCTCTGGGTTCGCACTTTGAAATTACTCAGGCCCCCCCGGTTAAGAACCGCTGACTTAGACTATACTTCTTAATGCAGCAATTTATTAATACAGTATTATTATATTAGTACAGTATTATTATTATTAGTTACAATACATTAAAACTTACACAAAATTAAAATTCTTACGTAATAAACCAATAATTGAGTGATTTGGTTTGGTAGTCCATGGAAGACTAAAGTCATTACTCGTTTTTTATAACACTGATAGTAATAAACACTTTAGTATTCAGACAAAACCAGAATTACCAAAGTTGTTTACCAATATCTTACTTCTCTTGATTTCTATATCTCAGAATGTGTTCATTGTTCATCACTTCAATTTTTTCATAGTGTATTGTATACTTGCCCTGTTCACATGTTCATTTTTATTTCTTCAAGTTCTAAACAACGAATTGATGTACTGGTACCTGACAGCCTATTCAACATTCAGAAATCTGGGTGGGTTTGAAGAGATGGCCAGTAGCTGTAATATTAGGGCAAGATACAAACACTACTATCTTCCACACATAAAACCTACAGTATATATACATAGAAGTGATTTCATTGGATGTATTATTTAATATAACTTTGGAAGTAAAATTAATCACATAATACAAATCTGTGAACTTACTTAAAATTTACTATACAAGAGCATAACCACTTATATATATATGTAGATATAATGTATACAGTATATATATAGTTTCAGGCAAATCTCCAAAAAGATGATCGATCATCGCAACTCAGCGTGAGGCTTTATCTTCAAAGTTCTGACCAATTATTTTCTTCCTTTGCTTTTTTATTTGTTCTTTAAGTGTATTCATTCCTGGGTTTCCTCTGGGAATTTCCTCTTCCGACTCTGTAACCAGATAAACATTTAACATCACTTCATTAGAGATGGAGGTTTTCACAACAATGGAAATATAAGCTTGTAAGCAAAACTCACATGGGTATAGACTGTCAATTAAGATTTTATTGAAAATAGGACCCATAGGCCTAACAGTCTATTGGGGATAATGCTTTGCGATGAACATATGAGTTAGACAGAGAAGTGTGATGTCTCCAGGCATTGGTGACTGCTAACTCATCTCTATGTGGATGACCTTGTGCTTTATGCCTATATTTAACTGAAATTGCCAAGGATTTGGTTTTTAAGAAGCAGCTTGATACAATGAAGTTTGATACTGAGTGAATTAAAACAAGGCATGAGGTACTGGAGTTGGTTGAATATCAAGTTATTTAGGAATAATGTTTAGTAAGAATGGTACAATAAAGAACAATCACTACACAACTCACCTGAATCTGATTGATAACCTGATTTACTCTCATAATCCTCGAGGAACCCAAAGTTCTCCTCTATCTTGTCCACTTTAGAATTCCTATCAGGTTCCACCTTTTCAACCTTGTTCCTCTGTCTTGCCAAGATCTGCCGGAGCTCAGAGGATCTGGCTGTTTTATACTATAGAAGAAACAAAGATTTAAATTTTAGTTACTGTACTGTATTAACAATTTGAATGACTAATAAATTTTCTTAATCACCTTTTGGTTAATAGCCATTCATCATCATTTTATATCCATTTTCCATGCTTTTGTGTGTAGTACCTGATGACAAGGTGTCCAGGTTACCATAGGGCAAATCTGAAGCAAGTTTACAGCTGGATGCCCTTCCTATCAGACATCATACTCTTCACTACAAGACAAAAACAGACAAATCTTACCCCTGATACATTGCGTTGGACTGTGATCTGAGAGGCCAGACGAGCACCTTCCGAGACTCCACAGAATTCCTCAAGTTGTTTTTTATCCAGAGCAAACAACTTGGTGCCATCTATACCCTCAAACTGCTTCATAATCCTGCACAAGATAGCATGTATTTAGTTTTAAAACACAGACATAATACCCCTGCTCCCCTATAGTCATAATCAAAGGACAAAGTTACAGGGGGTATTTGTTAAAAGCTTATAATTAGATAATTAAATTTAAAAATAATATTAAATATACCAACAGAAGAAAATTTACCTTTTAGAGAATCCCTTCAGTTTGAGCCACGACTGAACTTCTTCGGGGGTGGACCCTTGGTTGATGTAAACATCTGGCGTTTTCACTATCTCTAAATGAGGTCTTTGGCGACGGAACGACTCCAGGACCATCCTTAATTCTTCATTCATCAAATCTGCTGTAGACTTAGCTATGGATAAAAGAAGGTATCTATTACAAGTTTGAAGTAGAACTATAAAATGAGTCGTCTAAATCATCCACAATTTCTATGTTATTCGAGTAACTTTATAACAGTTGCATATTGCACATTCCATTAGAATCTTTGACAACAATTATATCACCCATAGTTAACAGAAGTATTAAGGCCATCCTACATTAACACCTAAAACAAAAATAAATCTTTACAGCAACTTATAATTTTACCACAACAACATTGCTCAGAATATATGTAATCTATTGCCACCACTTCAATCCCTGACCATCTAGTTCAGAACCTACAACCTACACTTTAGTATACATCTAGTTTAGAACCTACAACTATACATCTAGTTTAGAACCTACAACTATACATCTAATTTAGAACCTACAACTATACATCTAGTTTAGAACCTACAAGTAACACTTTACTTATGGTATATCTAGATAAGAACCTACAATCTACACTTAATGTATAGTATCTAGTTTAGAACCTACTGGGGACATCATTGTGTTAACCACTTCACTACAGGGATGACACTTTTGATATTTTTGTTGGTTAACGTCAGATTATTTTATTCAGCTAACAGGGGGCCATACGCAAGGGGTTATGATACAGGTTTGTATTAAGTTTCAATTCCTCCACTTGTTACAAAGAAATGTAGTCAACAAAATATGGGACAGACAAATGACTAACAAAGGGGGTTAACATATGCTTTTCTGACTCCAGGCAGCATTAAAAATACAAATAAAAAATAATGGTACGGAGTTATCAAAAGGAACCAACCAAATGATGAGAACTTTTTCTCGTCAACAAACTTGCAAGTTCTGTACTGTGTTGGTAGAGAAGTTAATCACAACATAAAAAAGAAAAAATGCATAGAAGTAAACCACAGAACCAACTGCAAGTAACTGTAAGAAAAAATTAAATGTTAATGAAAGAGACTTTATGAGAAGACTTGTCATGTTTACTGGAACAAATGAAATCATGTGAGGGTCATATTACCGGTGAAAGTTAACCATATATATCAATCAATGTAGCTTATGAATCGAGTGTAATTCTCTAAACATCAGTTCACTATTCCTTATATTTTTCAAACACTTTCAAAATCGCTGATTGTGATGGTGGGCGGTGTGACACAGATGATGCTCACTATATACAGTACAGTACAACTAGAAGGAACAACTTACTGGTACCATACATTCTCTCAGCAGTTTTGGGGCGGGACTTTTTGGTTATCCGTGGTGTTACAGGTTCATCAGGGGCAAAGTCAGGAGGAGGTGGGGGAGGGGGAGCTGGGATACTGCTCAACTTCTTACGTGCTGATGGTTCATCTTCATCGCTAGAGTCGGCGTTCGTGTAGTCTGTTGGGAAACAATAAAAAGTAAATTGATAATTCAAGTTATATTTTAGTCTAAGTTTTACATTTTTTAGGAATTACAGAACTGAACATGAATCAAACTTCACCAGAATAATAATGAAAATTTTTACTTCATAGAGAGATGTAAGAGAAAAGCAACAAAAACACAACTTAAACAAGACAAGAAGTTGACAAGTGCCAATGCTCGGGCAAGACAAGCTGAAGTGTGACACTGAAGCATGGATAAGCTACACTTGACATAAACGTGTGAATCCAGTCACACAATTTCCAGGTATGTTTGATGTATTAGTAATGAATTAGGCAACTTTCAGTATTTTCCAAAGGACAAATTGTGAAACTGGATTCATAGACTATAAGATGAAAATCCCACAATGAACACAGCATACATAACTCACCTGGAGTGTGGCTACTGAGGTCCTCCTCGCTCGATTCCAATTCAAATACTGCAGGAGCTTTGTAATGTTGGAAGGGGTTATGAGACACTAAATCCATATATTCACTAATTCTCCATATTTTCAACTTTCTACACAAACTGAACTACAGTAACTAATTTCAAAGAATACATGATCATTTAACAGACTAAGGCTACATCTACAAGTAATTCATTAAAGAATACTCAGTTTACATACTTTTAAGATGCAGTAAATGTCCATCTTCCCATTTAACAAATTAAACAATATTTCTTGGAATAATAAATACCAAAACACACCTTACAATGTAATTAACAAAAGACCGCTAATCTTACATCCACCAGTACTAAACAACAGACACAATCACAACATTCCACACCTGACATACAGTACTTCAAAATTTAAAGGTTCGATGTGATTTGAGCTACGACCATGATTATTATGATCATTTCTCCACACTGAAGCTGTAACGTAAAATAATAACATCGAGTCAAACTATAAATATCTACACAAAGTTAATAAATGGTTTATTGGATAATTTTATTTTTATTTTGTGGTTTAAATGGATGATCAAACTCAGTAGTGGTATTGAGAAGCTGATAAATAGTGAGATACATCATTATGTAACCTGTACTTGAATACTTAGGTTCACTCTGCATGAAGACTTGAGTCACATATTATAATCAGTCTTTAACAGTCTGACTACGGGGCAAGTCAGAAGGATAAATGCTTTACTATGTGTATTCAGGGATCCTTAATCATACATGGTATCTTAACCTTCCCAAGGCTTCTATGACTTAAATGTCTACTGGAACTGTCCTAAACCATAGCTACATCAGTACAATTTTTAGTAAATTTAATAAATATATAAATGTGTTGTGGGAAACAACTCCTAATTTTTGTCCCAAAATTTTTGCAAACCATTTCTTACTATTCCACAAGGAACCAAACTCATGAGCAACTACAGACCTTCCCTCACTCACTCGCTCATTCATTCTACCTACCTTACCAGATACCTTTCTGAATACTTTTTATTGATCAAAATAGCAATTAATACGATTATCAAATTTATTATATATTACTGTACTCAAATTTCTGTTCTCACTTCCTACATCCAGCTTCAATCCATTCAAAGCTAATTTACTGAAGTAGTATTCTCTCAAAAGGACATTTAAGAATTACTAAGACTATAACCTTTGTGTGGAGATTCTTAGTATTTAAAAATCTCTCCCTTATAAAGCAAAAACTTATAAAAAAAACCTGATTTCACTGTTAACTGGTCAAAAGTACTCTCATTCTAATAGGCCCTAACCTTACAAAACTTAACCATTAGGAATTGGAGCCCAATCCTAGTGGGTCCTAATGTAACTCAACCTTACTACTGTACTGTACTAGGATTTGAACCCAATCCTAATTGTTAGGTTAGGGCCTTTAAAAGTGAGGCTCATTGTCCTGTAAGATTCGCTGTAATTAAAAAATATGTATATACAGTATATCATCAATGAATACTTGGTGACTGTACTGTAAGGGTTACTTACCTAACAAGAAACTACAGTATTGTACCTTCTCCCTGAAAACATGGAGCCATGACCCCCAGAAAAAAAAGTCTTGAAGAAAATTGTCAGACTTGCCCCAAAATCCTCAACTGAAGGCACTGGTGCATTGGTGCAAAGTTTGTTTTGGGCTCTGTTGACAACATCGCACACAAGGTATACGTATACTGCACAGGGAGATGTTTCAATAATAATAAAAAGAAAAACTATTTTCACAGTGGTTTATTAATGTTATCTTGATATTACACACTTATATATGAGATTCATTTGCCACAACCATCTACCATTTTACTGAAAAATAAGAAATCTTATGTTACAAATGTACATGAGATTCTTTACAAATATCTTTAATGTGATTTAACATTAAAATCTTGTCAGTGTCTATCTTTGAATGTGGCTGAGAACAGACAAAGGAAGTAGTAGTGTAATAAGTCAAACATATTAATTACTCAATTTCTAGTGCAAGTTATTGCGTGTCTCTTGAAAAAAAGTTTAATGGAAAATGTTGTCTGTAAAGTCTCGTCTAGATTTATATCTATTACTTTTTTGTCAGGAAAGTTTAAGACTTTAGCCCATTACATTATGAAAACAGCTTGTCCAAGAGACAGGTCAAACAAGGTCTTAGGTCACGAGAGGACAGTCTTCCCAGTTTATATACACGGGAGGCAGGAGTTATTTTTAAACAGTTGTCAAGTTAGTTGGCTGAAGCCACGGACAGTGACAAAATTATTGAACTTGAGCACTACGCAGGATTTCTGAGCTTTTAATCCTCGTAAAAGAAATCCAGTTCATGTCAGCACCTACAAATGAGTAGCTCACCGCGTCACATAGTCAACAGAGCCGTCCACTACAACCCTTCACCGCGCATGCAACGACTGTTTTGTCCCACGCATGTTAACCACTCCTATGAAAGAAGGCAATAACATCCTCTACAATACTTTATAGATAAACACATTACAGAATTATGATCTCTATATAAAAGATAAAGTTGAGTTTTCTTATAACTTCTTCAAAATATCGCAAAACTTAACTGCATTATCAACAGATGCATTTGTTGAGACGGACTTTAGTATCGTACAGAACATCGCCACCTTCCCCCCTAAAGCTCCAGAAACAAAAGTACATTACCTGGTCTACAACAGCATTCCACTCACCATTATACGTTAGGGAAGACCATCAATAAAGTAAACAAAGCTAGAAATATAAAGCTGGACATGTACATTATTAATTCATTAAGTCTTGTGAGCAACAGGTTAAAGCTACTTACTACGGTACTTTCTGATCACAACACATCTTTCCTCTTAATAATGTACATGGAGGAACAAATCACCAGCGTATGATAGTGTGTAAGTAAGTAAGTGAAATATATATTAATAGAAAAGAAGAAGAATAGACAAATAAGCATGTCGACACACTAGTAAGCTTGGTGGGAACGTTCATCATTTTCAAGACAAGTTTACTAGTCAGCATTTCATTAGTAGTTAAGCTGGAGATAATGGCCTGAATTATGACAATTCCCCAATTACAAAGGGTATAACGTTCAATACACACTTATGTAATACAGTATCCTATTTTGAATTTGTGGCAAGACACGAATTTACAGTATTGCAAAAATCATAGAATCAGCTTTGGGGTTAACTCGTACTTAACTACCAGGAGGGAATAAAGCATTCAGTCATTCAAGGTCTATGATGAGCAAGGCAGTCAGGTGTTTTCTGAGCAATTAAGGTCATTATTCATATCTTGGGCAGTAATATAGAGGCATTGTCTAAGGTGGAGGAAGTATTGAGGCATTAGTCATTATTTTTGTCAATCTGTAATAGTTTATAAGTCGTATCTGCAAAAGACATAAAAACACAAAAACAAAACTGCAATTTCTGTACATTTAAGGAAAAAATGTGTTATGTTAAGTGTTAGTGAAGGTTAGAATTATTTAAGATTACATTTACTACACAATGATGTACATGATGAGAATGAACAACCGTGACAATATTACTGAATAATGGAGGGAATACAGCAGCTAACAAACGTGCCACCACAACACCGTCTATAATTATGTGATGTTGTGGAGAACTTCAACTACCAATAATGAACAAATTAATCTTCTACACTCACTTAATATGATACTGTACTGTCTACATGAAATAATTACAGGTTTTAATTTAATTACAAGGATTGTTGAACAAACTTTATATTGAACATACTTAAAAAGAACCTATACAACTAGATATAAAAGTTATGTTATTTTCTTTAAAATTTTTAGGGTAAGGCTTGCTAAAATATATATATACTATATATATAAATGTTTAGTGTGTAATGTGCCAACAATTGCTAGTCAAATTACACACCATTGTGCCAAATTTCAATCACATGAAAGCTTTACATACAACAGTGACCATTGAGTAAGTCCTGAGACAAACCAAGTTTACAACCAGCTTTCATTACTGATCTAATATTTGGCAATAAATCATTACAAACAACTTTACATTCACAAAGAGGAGGCCGCTAAAATGCATAGCCTACATACTGAAGCTTGTGTCTATAACCAGGACAGTGCACAGTGCAGGAGTTCAACAGACAAACATACATACACCCACAATGAGAGAGAGAGAGAGAGACCTTCACATGTCTCTCCATTACGTGCATCGTCCTACTGGCTCACAATCTCCCTTCACTAGTTCACTTGACATTTTCTTACTCTGGTACGAAGCATTAATTTCACCCAAATTTCCTCCATGATGCTAATTTTTAATCCCTCTACACATTCCGTTACCAAAACTATCCTCTTTAATAAATTATTTTTGAAAGGTTTACATAAAAATAAATTTATTAAGGAGATCATAAGCCAGTAGTTACGACACCTTAGACTTCAGGCAGGAATTAGAAATATCTGAATTCACCTTTCTTGCCCTGTCGTTCCTTCCAGACTGGAGCAGGTGCATTCCGCCGCACATCAGCACGGTAATCTTCCTTACCATCCTGTAATGCAGGTTAGGTTATTATGCCACGTTCATTACTCCTAAATGAACGTTCTCTGGCAGGTTATTACAACAGTTCACAACTCTTACCCTCACAATTGGAAATTAACGTGTGGACTAATGTACTTGCATCCAAAATAAAAGAAAAACAAAAAAATCAGTATAGAAAACTACAGGAGTCGAATAATTGGAGTTCTAAAATGAATAAAATTTTCCAAGAGTCATAAGGACTACTGTATTTGTACCTGGATAACAAATGTGATAAGAACAGACAGACCACCTGAACGTCTAGTAAGCTGGTAAGAGGTGAATAAGTATATGCAATGTCATATCACACCTGGTCAGCGGCGTAGGGAGTAACAATAGTATGAGGGACGTGAGCCACTTGGCCTCTTGCGTTTATTGCCTTCCACCACTTGCGGCTGTCATCCATAACCTGATGGGGAAACAGGCCTTATGAGTTGTTCTCAAACACATGTGGATATCATATACAACTTAAAGAGAGTTTAACCTCATCAACTATATCAATAATTTAAATTAGGATTATGAATTTATTGTCTTCACTCTGCTCACTTCCTTGGGAGATATGGTTACGGGAACAGTAGTGTTTGACAAGTGTTCTTCATTAGTTATACATTTCAATATCACTATTTTCATCTATATTATATACAGTTTGGTGAAGCTTATGGTTCCAAGACATTTCATCACTGGACAATTCATGAATGGTTTGGTATAAACCTAACCTAACCATGGCTTAATCATCTCTAAAATAAAGACATTATTATCTAAATTTAAAAATATAACAAAGTATTCAATAGACCGGTAACAAATTATCTGGAAACAAAACGTCCGCCCACCAAAGTTTACATTCAGATGCATATTTATTTAACAAGCTCCACAATACTCACCTCTAAGTATTCCCCACGAACAACTGTTAATTCTTTGTCATTGTTGGCCGTGCGTGGATAGGTCACCTGCACAATTTTTGCCCCGCGGGATTTAAGGTCATTCAACCACTGTCGCTGATGTTTTTCAAATGTAGGCTGATCCACCGAGTCCTGGGATATATCACTACGGCCAGCCTGGGGGTACTCCGAGGGTGGTGTCATGGACCGTGGCCTGAAACACATTAAAACACACCTCATTGATCTTACCGACTAGCTGTTCGCATCACTGCATATTTCTCTAACTCTTTAACATATGTCAGACTCTCAACATCAATAGGTACTTGGTAAGTCTAAATCAGTTTAATCTTGTAAAGTCTACCAAAAGATTTCTTATTAATTGTTTTATTTCTGTACTTAGCTTAATACTATACTGTGTGCCATGTAAATAAAGGTGTTGAAAATTATCTAGTCTTAAAAATACTAGCATGTTCTAATAGTGAAAGCTAAGATTACATATTTAAGCAGAGGAATTGGAAAAACTGCTCTGTGTAGGCTTAGTGTACAGTCCACATTAACCTAGCTAATACACCACAGTTTCAGAGTAACTTGTTTTTCATACAGTACAATTGTTTTCATCTTTTCTTTCCATTAATATTAATATTTTTCCATAGTCATTGTAATCATATAAGAATTAGTGCAGGGACGGTATGACCAACCTCTCATCTCGGGGATAGTATCGACCTGGGGATGGAGAGGGTTCCCTTCGATCTGAGTCGTAGAAGTCACTGCCATATTCATCCGTGCGTAGACGACCTTGCCGCATTTCTGCCTGTTAAAGTGGAAAATTATTTAGACTGGAGTGACTTATACAAAAGTATTCTACTTATATCTTACTTGAAATTCCACATAATTTAACTACCATATACAGTAGTAGGTTAATTACTGTTCTGGATGATTTTGTTTATATAAGTAGTACACCATTACCACACACTATCCTAAGATCTACAGCCCCCAAACTTGATCCCTTCATCCAGTACTCATTAAATGAAGTGTAAATTAATTACAACCCAAAAAATTCACACATGAACTTACTCCAGGATAATCCATGTCCTTGTAAGTTTGGAATACAAAAAAATAAATGGGAAGTTTAATATAGCAATGAGTAGAGTATAATAGAAGGAATATTTGGGGGGGTTAATAACAGAGACAAATAAGGAGCTTAAAAAATATTAAATCAAGAGTTTAACATCACAAATAAAAGAGCAATTTAATATCTGATGTGAAGACAGATTAAAAAAATCGAACTAAAATTTGGTACAAGTATTAACAGAATTTAATATTAGTAATAAACTGGGATATGTAACACCAACAGATCAGATATTGAAAAACTGAATGACATACAAACCCAGGTGTAGGAGGGTGGGTGGGGCAGTCATCCTAGGCAGTCTTTTTTATTGGGGGGGAGGGGGCAAAGTAAGGTTCAACCCACCTAGCAAACACATAATACAGTATAATGAAATCACAGCTATTGAGAATCTTTAAAGCCACAGATCGTTAACTAGAAGGCAAGGGGAGGAGGGAGGATATATTTCACCTTAAAGCACCATAATTCCTATTTTAGGATGAGCGTGGAAAACAGCCGTAAAACAATGACGCTGAAACACTCGATTCTACAACTTACTTCGCGTTGAGCATTTCGTATTTCCTCTGCTCTTGTACGCTTAGCTTCTGATGCAACCTCGGAGGCCAGCACATTGGAGCGTTCGCGTGAGTCTTCTATCAGCTCTGGTGCCCATCCACTTGAAAACACTAAAAAATATAATAGTACAGTAGTTTCCTCCATCATTTACATACAACATCCTTACAACAATCAGATTTATCATCACGTCACAGGTATGTCCAGTGCAGGTATACACATTGTCACTTGTTAATTAACTAGCATTACCATACAATACAATGATAAAAAAACAAATTGTAGCATACATAAGTTATATTAAACATTACTTCTATTTAAAATGGAAGAGGGAAACATGTGGTATTATTGCTGTCTGAAACTAATTGTAAAAAATAATTATTTCATATACACAAGATGGTGACAAACCTGGCTGGTAAGGACGAACATCGTACTTCCACATGTTACGTGGAATGCACCAGGTATCACCAAGACTCTGCCACAGTTCTGTCTCTCGTGAAGTTAAGCAGTTTGTTAGCAGGTCTATGGCGTCTGCAGTTAGCAATGGAGATAAGACCTTGAACGAGAGAAAAAAAGGTGAGAATTCTGTCTTTCTTAAAATACAAGACAAAACATTTACCAGCATTGAAAATTTGGAACACCATAACCACTAAAGATAATATAAAGAAAAGTTTGATTACTTGTGTAGGGGATTTCAGCATTATAATTTAAGTGGAATTACTTATTTTTTTAAGCTTTCTATATACTGTATATAATGTACAGATACTAAACTCACCTTGGTGGGGAGGTTTGCGCCGTAATTTGAGTCCCGAGACGCATCGACAATGATCGCCAAGGGAGTGAAGAGGAAGTGTACCAGTTCAGGAGCATTTGGGTCGTGGATGTGCGCCTTCAACTTTGCCTGAAGGGAGACAAGTTTAGAAGCAACAGTTATAACATTGGTGGTTTTACTATATACTGTACAGTCATTGAAAAGAGAGACATAGGGAGTGAGGAGAGACAGGAGAGGAAAGAGATGAGAGTGAAGAGAAGGTGAGAGGGGGTGGAGTGGAGAAAGAGAATTCCAAAAGTAGGCAGAACTTAACTGAACTATTAACTGGTCATAAGCAATGTTAATGTAGTCTGGCCATAAATTTACTCGGTAAGTTTTAAGTGAGTCAGTCCGGAGTCGACAAGTTTTAAGTAAGTCAAGTAAGTCAGTCCGGGTATGCATTCATAGGAGTAACCGATGCAGCAGAGAACCAGTGACTTGGGAATGCTTACCAGGAGGATAAATGACAGCTTAAATTTCTGGAAAATATCGACAAATTCCCGCTCTGGTGGAGGCTTTGCACGCATCGACAACAATCCGTCACCAATGTCTTTCTTCTTGGATTTACGAGACCTGAAAAAAAAATCACGTCTAAAAATAGATCTTTCTTTTTTTAATTTACGAGACAAGACAAAATAATCACACATGCAACTTTCTTCTTTAGCAATCACGTGTAAATATAACTCTTCTTTTAACTTCAGACACAAGAAAAAGTAACCTGATTTAAGAGGAATTACCTGCGACGGCGTTCAAGTTCCCTGGTGGCAGCCGCTGTGTGCTCGAGGCGTCCGATGAACCGCTCAATGTCGTCAAAGCAGGAGTTGAGGATGGCCACGTCCCGCTCGTACTTTTCACTGCTGGTCGACGACACATCATCGTTATGGCTCACACTGGACCTCTCCGACCTCGGACCCCGCGCTTCTCCCCTAACCTCACTATCCGCTGTATAATAAAAACACATATTAAAACCATACTCTCACACATGCTATATTAGTCACCAATCTATTACTGTACTTATTTATCGACCAAGTTTTATGTGAGGTGGATCATGGAATACAGAAAACCTTAAGGACGATGTGAAAGTACCGGGTAAGTACATTCACAAGACTGCCACGCTAACCTAAACTAATCTTGCCATGTTTTAAGGGAGGTAGTAGCATTAGGGAGTTTAATCATCAGATGAAAAAAGAAATTGACGGCCTAATCTTCCGGTAATCCAAAGAACATTAAATATTTACATACACAATATTATCCAAGTGGAACAAACATCACACTAGACCACTCTTCACTGCCGCCGGAAACCACATTCAAGCCCCTGGAGGCAGTGACCTTGTGATAAAACTTTTAGCGGTGAAAACCTTGGCATAATAAATACAAGTTGGCGACATTTACTCCAACCATGTAACTATGAGAATCAATATTTGAGAAGGTCGAGTCATCTACCGAGATGTAGAGGGCAAAAGGGTACCTTGAAGAGTAATAGAAATGGCAGTGTAACGAATCAGAAGACAAAGAATTAGAAAAAAGATGTGAAGAAGGGAGATATGAAGTGATTGGGTAACAAATGAGAAAATGCAGGATAAAAAAATGACAGTGTAACGAAGGAGAAAAATAAAAATAAATGGTGAAGAGATAAGAGAAGATAAAAGAAATCATGGATAGACGAATGTGGAGATAGGAGAAAATTTACATAGCTAAATAGATTTGTATTAAGTAAACTTGCCATACAATTTTATATTGGTAATGACTGATTTCATATGTACATAGAAAGTGCTGATATACAATGCACAGTACATAAACAGTGCAGGGCATATAAACGAGACACTGACAAACAGTATTCAATCAACAAAGTTATTATCAGTTTATTTCCAGTTGGGTGCAGTAACAGACTGTTCCTTGAAACAGCCGCCGTCACACAGCAGTTGTAAAAAAAAATATCCCTTGGCGACGACATTCTTGCCACACGTGACCAACCCGACCTTAGACGGGGGCGCCACACACTTCCCTCCCACCAATCTCAGGCAGTAGACTTTAACCTACTGCATTAAGAAGTGTCTGTTATATGCTGCACTGTCTGTTAGTTTACTGTTAACCTATTGTTGAATTCTGTATCCTATTGTAACCTGAAGAACCTGCTGTTGTGTTACTGGACACGTTGAATACTAAATTTCTCATGACACGATTCTAAAAAAGGTTTCTACATTGAATTTTCATATTAAATAAAGACTCTTACTGTAACACCATTTAGGACACATCTTACATCTTCTGTGAGGAGAAATATTTATCATAGGAGTCTTTACAGAATCCCAATCCAAGATTTTCTTCGGTGTATTTTCCAGCCAAGGTCACTTTGATGGATTTAAGACGTTAAATAATCACCTCCAACGTGATTAAATGTTACAGTAATCACTCCTAAGAGGATTTATTAAACAAAGCTAACTCAAGAATCACAAATACTAGAAAATTATCCCATTAATAACAATAGAATCCTTACACGAATTAAAACTATTATCATGATTAAATTATTATTACCTCTCATCATCTCCTGCCGCATCATACGTTGGTAAGCCTGTCGAGCGCGTTCTACAGCGCGCGCGCTCTCCACAGTACTGACACCAGTTAGTACCATGATGCACACACGGACACGGTGCCAACACTTATCACGGCACTCTTATTAAAACACTTGTGGACACGGTGCCAACACGGACACGGGGCACAAGTGTTTTCTCACAAGACTGGTCTTGGTAGCCAGTCTTTTATTTGATTCATCACTTCTATATATTTCACTTCGATATTTTTACGTCAAGTCCAAGTATTATTTATTTCAGTTCGATTTTTTTCTTTTTTAATATATGTACTACTTTTTTCGTTATCTATGGAAGGTCTTTTTTATCTCTATACATTAAGTAAAAAACACAAGACAACTTTATATAAAACAACGGGTAGGAGTTTGTTTTCTAATATATTATAACGTGACGGAAGTGAGGAAACATTAACCCACTTACACACACACATTCCTTACCACTACTACCACCACGGCCAACACTCCTATTACTACCACCACAACCACAATCCCTACCACCACAACCATTACCAACACTCCTATTTCTATACCATCAACACAACGCCCACAACACCCAAACCGTTTCTGCCCTGATAACGTCACCCATTGTAAGTCATCACCCCCACCCCCTGAAGGAAGAGAAATTCAACGTAACACCTTCCTCACGCCCTATACACAAATAATTTCACCTTGGCATTTATTCACAACAATTCTAAGACTGTTTTTATTATTATTTATTTCGTGTTTTAGTTGAGGTAGAGTCTCGGTGTAATTTTAGCAAGCCGATATATTAAGAGTAGGAAAATTTTAAGTTGCTGTAGATACGTTGTTGTCAAGAGGAAATTATTATACGAATTTTATGAATATCTGGAACTAGCTGTTTTAAGTAGGATAAGACTCCGTTAGATATATGATACAATATATAAATACAGTTGTAGTTCTGTTGTGTATATCCGGTTTATAAAGGCTGTGTGTTGCATAGACAAACTTTGTACACGGCTTTCTTGTTGTTCCAGTGTAAATGAAGCTACTTGGGGGTTATATTATGATCGTAGTTTGGCATATGACGTAGTTGTTTCGAAGCAGTGGAGACAATTGCATCACGTTCAAGAAACGAGAACTTGTAAGAAAATCCCGGGAATAAAACAAAGGTCAACATTAGGTTACCACGATATCTCTCTCTCTCTCTCTCTCACTCTCCTCCTCTCTCACACATTACTCTCTCTCTCCTCGGTGCGTATTGGGGTAACTATTCAAGAAGTCAGAGTGGAAATAAGAATGTGTGTGTGTGTGTGTGTGTGTGTGTGTGTGTAGTTATGGTGAGATGGACTAACCCGTGTCGGCCAGTACCCAGCGAACAGTAGTCCTCCCTGGCACAAATTTTCCCCAAATCACTCGCCCGTGTGTTTACTGATCCTCCTCCTTCACACACATCCAAGCCACACAACCTTCTTACCATGCATATCAGAGGACGGCGACGAGGACCAAGCATCCTTCTGTTTACAAAGGCTAAACACCTCGAGTATAATGCCTACAACAGTACATCAGGTCTTGTACATTAAACCCACCACCAAACAAGCCAAAAACGTTTTAATTTCTCTTTATAGTGTACGGTTGTGTGTCCCTAACTGGAGTATTGTGTCACTAGAGTAGTTTCCACCTTTGAGAGGCGCCTTATGAAGAATGTCTCCTGCTAGTTCCCCACCTTCATGAGACGCCCAATGAAGAACGTCTCGAAGTACAGAACTGTATATAATGAGTAGGGTGAACGTGGTGACCAGACTGTGACGCTCTGCTGCCTCAACCACCGTCACAGCCTCCTATTTATACACATTCAGACCCCTCCTTCATGAAAATAGTATCGAAGAACTTTACGCTACGCTCAAAGTTTTCTACCGGAGGAACAAGACTTATAGAGCTATATTTATCAACTCGTATAGCTGAAGTATATAAATGTAAGACCCAATTAGGCATAAAATATACTTATTAACTGACAGATGAAGTAAATTAACCAAAAACAATAACAGCGTCAATATTTCAACATAGAAAATGGGTCATCAATACCCTTAACTATAGTATTTTCCTCCAGGACCTCGAGGTTATATTAATTATCATACCACCACCAGGACGAAATTCTGGATGGGTGATCAATTGAGGATATAGAACCGGAAGTCTAGGTGACATGGTGGGGTGGGATACGGTGTGGGTGGGGTGAGGAGGAGACGAAAGAGGACTTACCTACCTGAAGCAAGTTACCTACCTACTCTTCCTCCTCCTCAGCCACCACATGACTGCTAAATACGTACACACCTTCACTCATACGACGATTACCCAACACTGCCCCACCTGACACACACACACACTTATTATTTTCTTGCGTGAGGTAATACAAATCATTCGCCCATCTCTTACCTTAGTATGAGTGATAGAATCCTAACCTAACCTAGCCTAAACTATATATGAGCATTTAAAAAATTAGAAGATAAATTTAATGTTTCAGGTTACAAGACAGATCGTTCGCCTTAAACGTGTGTGTGTGTGTGTGTGTGTGTGTGTGTGTGTGTGTGTGTGTGTGTGTCGGTCTCTGGACACTGTGACCACCATATCGAAAGTCTTCATACGTGTTGTGTGTGTGTGTTAACAAATATCGAGTTATTACTGTTGTGGGTTCACTAGTAATTAACAGTGATGGTGTAGGCCCGCCAGACAGTGAAACCGCTGAGGAGGAACTGCAAGATTCACTTTCCCGCCCCGCACTACTGAGTAAGTCCCCCTCCCCCTTTGCCCCACCTCGCAAGTCCCCCTCTGCCTCACCTGTCACTTCCCCTTCATAACATCACGTCTGGCACCATGTCCTTCACCAAAGCCCGTGGCAGAGATCCTCAAAGGTTCCTACGTTGACTCTACACTGACTGGGGACGTGAGAATCCTTCTAACTGTTTACAAAAGACTGAGAAAATAACTGGATATCGTAATAAACTGTCTTATCAATTAAACTCCGCCTACTTCTTGACTACCTTAGCAACCGTTACCATTCGGATAAGCTGATTGGTTGTTGGTTGCTATGGGATGCGTGAAGACCAATAGGCACAATTCACCGCCAATATTCTTAAGGGTTTGTTGACGCAATTACATGTAGATCTGCCCTGTGTTTGTTCAGTCGTCTCTCTAAGTTAATTTCAATACTTCCTGCTACTACCCCCTTCCACACACACACACACACAGGACGATTAACAAGTGTACACAGCTGTTGGGACGGGCTAATAGTGGTAGGTTGATGTGGTGGGTGATGGTAGGTGATGGGTGATGGTAGGTGGTGGTGATGGTAGGTGGTGGTGATGGTAGGTGGTGGTGATGGTAAGTAGTGGTGGTAGCGGTGGGTAGTGGTGCAGGTTTGGGTGGGTGGGTGGGTGGGTGG